TGCACACCTGTTTGTTGAGGATTCTCTCGTTCAACCAGCTGCGTGACAACATGACAAGCTAAGGGTCCCAGCTGCACCAGACAAGAGCGCCTCCACTCACCTGCGCCTGAAGCGCAATGTTCGTCCTCCCGAGGTCCAGGGTCCCAGGCTGAAGAGGGTTTCCGGGGCCCTACGGCTCCCCGCAGTGGCCCACGCGCGGTGGCAGAAGAGGCTGACGAGAAGACGCCTCAGGGCGAAGCAGGTGCCCACCACCCCCACCCAGCAAATGAGCTTAATCAAGGAAGGTCTCGTGTCGGGAAACCAGGCCTCCACGGGACGTTCGAAGGAGACCGGGTTTGAGAAGTTCTGTATTTTCGATGCAGCTGAAGGAGGGACAAGAGAAGACGGACGATCCCTCAAGCCAGGCAGAAAGGCTGGCCAACAGCGTCAGCCGGAGAAGACGCTTCCCAGGGGCAAGCCTGTCACTGAGATCTGGCAGGAGTCCAGGCAGGGTCCAGGCAGGCTGGAAAAACTGACCCCGAGTCCAGAGCCCAGGCACCCAGCTGGGGACTAGGCTGCAGGCCCCGGAGCCGGGGCGGCCCCCGGGCCCCGGGAAGGGAGGCGTGAGTGCCACGGGGAGGCTGGGCTCTCGTCCTTCGCCGAACCCGATATCTGACACTCGGCCTGCTGACCTTCCCAGGACAAGCCGGTGTGTGCCGTCGTCTTGAGACCGTCCTGCTCCTGCACATGGTTAGGGCCACCTGTCCTCCGGCAGCACCGGGCTCAGGCAGCTGGAGTCTGGAACCGTGACCAGGTGTCGGGCTCCACGTGCAAGCTCTGGCCTCAGCACTGACCCTCAGGGATCATCGGGCCCTCAAGACAAAGCGAGGGTGGGTGTGGTGACCCCCAGTCCACAGATGACATGGCCCGGCCTGCAGTGACCACCCAGCCACGAGAAGGCAAGCTCCAGAGCGGGCCCAAGACCGGGCCCTCGGCGCCTCCCCACTTCCCTCTGTGTTCTCAGAGAATCCTGATGGAAACTCCTTCTGAAGCATCTAGTTCCGTTGTGCTGAGCGAAGTAAGGGCTGGGGCAAAGGTTGGTTCAGTCATCCACTCAGGAGCCGGGTCTGCCCTGGGCCGTGGGGCCAGCGCTAGCGTCCAGGGCGGAGGCGCAGACTGTGGGCGCGGAAGGAACATGGTGCCCCAAGGAGACCGTGAGGGGTGGGGCAGCGCCTGGGGAGGGGCTGCGGTCCACAAAGGCACGGAGCCCCGGGGGGCGCTGTTGGGGGGCTGGCAGAGGTTGGACTCCTCCTGGGGGCTGAGGGAGCGGGCGGGGTGCACACGTGGGGTCCACGCGCGGGCTCCGCGAGGATGGAAAGTGCTTGCACTGGACTCAGGCGGACCTACACAGGCTGCTCACCTAGGCCTCAGACGGCAGGAGGAAGAAGGGGCCCCGTCACCCCATCGGACAGACGACGGGCTAGATGTACAGACGAGTATAAAGCCATAAGCGGGCCTGTGACCCTTCGATGCTGCCAAGGGGAGGCCCCTGACGCGTGGCTCAGAGCCAAGGTCTGAAGGAGGAGGAATCAACCGAGGGTCAGGGCTGGGGGCGAGGCGGCTCTGCGGTTGAGCCCTGGAGTCTGGGGTCTGGAACCCCGCCACACGCCTCCAGCAACCCCCTTGGGCCTCTGAGTTCCTAGCCAGCAGGCCGGCCCCGCTCTCCCCTCCTGGCCGCCTTCCAAATAATGTTTGTACCTGACAAGCTCCAGGGACCGACAGAGGCCTCCTGGTCTCCCCTCAGCCCTCCATGAGGTGACTATGGGGCCCCTGCGGTTGGTGACCAAGTCACAATCCCAGAAGACTCTGCCTCTAGCCAAGACCTGGAGACATTTTCCCTGCGGCCCCTGCTCCCGGCTCCGGCTGGCAGGGCCCTGGGCCACCAGCAGATGTGTCTGCTCTGTCCCAGGGCCATCCGCAGTCCTAAGGGCACTCCGTCAGGAGGGGACAGCGGCCCTGCACAAGCCCAGGGGCACACGCTCAGACACTCAGCAGCCCAGTCAGCACCTGGCTGTTTCTACGGCTAGGCAACATAGCTTCTCCAGCTTCCCCATGAGAATTCTTCTAGAAAAAAACATTTTTAAAAAGGTCAAATAAAAATGCGTTCATGTATTTACCCAGCACCTATGACGAGCCAGGGCCGGTGCCGGACGCTAGGCTGCAGAGCGGGGTATGCTGTGGCCCTCACCCTCTCCCGGGACACCACCCGGACTCCTCGCTGAGCAGAGCCCAGATCCCGTGGGGGGGCCGCCGTGGCAGAGGCTGCACCAGAAGGGGTGAGGCTGGAGGCAGGAAGAGCAGGCCAGACACTAGGCTGCCTGCACCAAGCCCCGAGCCTGAGAGCTGGAAAGGTAGGAAGCCTGGACTGGCCACGGAGGCCCAGGGGCCCCGGGGGGAAACCCGGCGCTGGACACGGAGGGCGGTAGGAGGTGGTGGCTCGAACCATCCCAGGGACTGTTACAACAGTGCTCGGCACACAGGGAGCGCCCACGAAGAGCGGCCACGGCCGCTTCGTTGTCTGAAGTGAAGGAGACCGGAGGGAGGGGAGGTGCCCACGGCGGCAGCCTGGGCAGATCCCTCCCAGAGCTCCTGGCCAGCCACAGGATGCGGCCCGACGTTGTAAATGGGTAGGGGGCAGTGTGGACGCGACGGCACAGCCAGGATTGCCAGGCCAGGCACTGGCCGGGGTCTGACTCCCACACCCCGAGGGGCGGCACACACAGCAGAAGGGCTGGGGGCAGCAGGTTCCCGGCTGAAGGTCCCTGTTCTTTAAAAACTTTTTGCCTTTTACGGGGAAACTTACAAAGAATCCCAAGCCAAGAAGGGAACAAAGATCCCTAGAGGGCTCGCCAAGCTGGTGTGCTGAGCTGAATCTCGGAAAGCAAATGCAAATGCGGACAAAGTGTGCAAAGCCAGTGACCTGAAACCAGAAGTGGGGACGCCTGACTCAGCATAAGCAAGTGGGGACACTGAAGATGTGTGTGCAGTGAATTCCTAATGAGCCCATGAGGGATGCAGACCGAACCCTGCGTGGGGTCAGGAAGTGAGGCCGGTGTCCCATTGCTCAGACGGAAGAGCAGGGAGAGGGCAGGGGAGACAGCCCATCACCTCTCAGTCCCCAACTCCCACTCCCCAAACACATCATCCAAGGTCGTGTGGATAAAGCTTTGGGTGAAGCTCTTGCTCTCTGCAAACTCTTGCTCTGTCCCCAAACCCAAGCCCAATAGATCTGGGCACCAAAGGACACTCGCATACTCAATAGAACGACCAAAAGTTAAGAAAATTGGAACAAAGGAGGCTGGGTGGCTCCATCGGTGAAGCGTCTGCCCTCAGCTCAGGTCATGATCCTGGGGTCCTGGGATCGAGCCCCACGTTGGGCTCCCTGCTCCTCGGGGAGCTTTGCTCCCCCTGCTTGTGCTCTCTCTCTAACAAATAAATAAAATCTTTAAAAAAAAAAATTGGAATGAAGAGGAAATGAGTGGGCCAGGGGCAGGTGAGGCCGGGGCAGGTGAGGTCGGGGCAGGTGAGGTCGGGGCAGGTGAGGCCGGGGCAGGTGAGGTCGGGGCAGGTGAGGTCGGGAGCAGGTGAGGCCAGGAGCAGGTGAGGCCAGGGCAGGTGAGGCCGGGGCAGGTGAGGCTGGGAGCAGGTGAGGCCGGGGCAGGTGAGGTCAGGGCAGGTGAGGTCGGGGCAGGTGAGGCCGGGGCAGGTGAGGTCGGGGCAGGTGAGGCCGGGAGCAGGTGAGGCCAGGAGCAGGTGAGGCCAGGAGCAGGTGAGGCCGGGGCAGGTGAGGCCAGGGCAGGTGAGGCTGGGAGCAGGTGAGGCCGGGGCAGGTGAGGTCGGGGCAGGTGAGGTCGGGGCAGGTGCGGCCGGGGCAGGTGAGGCCGGGGCAGGTGAGGCCGGGGCAGGTGAGGTCGGGGCAGGTGAGGCCGGGGCAGGTGAGGCTGGGAGCAGGTGAGGCCGGGGCAGGTGAGGTCGGGGCAGGTGAGGTCGGGGCAGGTGAGGCCGGGGCAGGTGAGGCCGGGAGCTGGTGAGGCCGGGGCAGGTGAGGCCGGGGCAGGTGAGGCCGGGAGCTGGTGAGGCCGGGGCAGGTGAGGCCGGGGCAGGTGAGCACAGAGCCAGGAGAGAACCTAGGCTCCCCGAGTCTGCTGCTGCCGCTCTACTCGAACAAGAGGCTTAGGGCAGAGGCCCGGGGCCAGAGCCCGGGACCGGGTGGTGGGGCCCGCAGTCTGGGAAGGGGATGGGCGCCTGCTCCCCGTCTCAGCAGCACACACCCAAGCCGGACACAAGACCTTCGCCCAAAGCTCCACCTCCTCCCCACCAAGCTGGTAGTGTAACCAGCAGCTGCGGTGTGCTCACCCGAAGCCTGGAGGCCGTCCCTGCTTTTGCCCACGCCCCAAATCCCTCCGTCCAGTGGCAGCGAAACTCCCCTCAGCTCTGCCCAGTCTCCCCGCCTCCACGGCACCGCCTGCGGCTTCTTGGGTGACCACAGTGGCCCCCTTCCTGCCCGCTCCGCAGCTCTTTCCCCACCGAGCCATCCCTGCCCGCGCTGCCTCCCTTACAGCCCGTCCATGACTGTGCAAGACCCTCAGGATGAAGACGAACTCCGGTGTCACAGCCGGGACCTGCCCCCGCCTTCCCCGCACATACCGCCCCTCCGTCTCCAGCCCCACATGCAGCTCCTTCCGTGGAGCACCCTGCCCTGCAGGGCCAGAGGGCTCTTCCCACCCCGACCCCTCCTCCACCAGCGTCCACTTCCCCAGGGGAGGCCACTCTGGGCCCACTGCATCCACCTGCCCACCAGGCTTTCTCCCCGCACCGCGCGGTGATTGATGCCCAGCTGCTCCCCACTCCGGGCCAGGCCCATAAGGCATGGACAGCACCTGAGTATGACCAGCATAAATCCCCGATTTCTTTCTTTTTTTTCCTGTTCTATATTTTAAGTTTTTTATTTTAATTCCAGTGTGGTTAACATACAGTGTGCGGCTAGTTCAGGTGTACAATATTGTGATTCCAACACAGGGCTGCCACTAGCTGGGGCTCCGAACACAGTTTTGGGAGGACGGAAGCGCTGGTACCCAATGCAGATGGCACATCAGTCAGATTTCTCGGGCATGAAGAGACTTATTTTAAGGAACTGGTTCCTACAATTGTCCACATCCACAGGCCAGTGGCCTGGACGCTCAGGCAGGGCCTCCGGGACAGCACTGAGGCCAACATCCTCTTTTCCTGGAAAACCCCAGCCTTCTGCTCTTCAGGCCTTCAGCTGATTAGATGAGGTCTGCCCACAGGATTGAAGGTGACCTCCTTGACTTAAAATCAACGACTGTAGATGTTAATCACACTACAAAATACTTTCACAACAATATCTGAACCAGGGTTTGACCAAGCACGTGGGCACCCAGCCATGCTGAACCATCAATTTCACCAGCCCAGATGCATCAACCCCAGGAGAGGCCAACAGCGAGGCCAGGCCGGATGGTACAGGAGACCCGGAAGGCCGTGAGAGGCTCGTTTTCCCACGCCGGAGGATGGGATGTCCTACAAACAGCAGAGGGTGGTGAAGAGACGTCCGGCCAGGCCTACAGGGCCAGGGCGACGCAGCCAGGATTACAGTGTAGGGTGTCCGAGGAGGGTGGGGGCAGGCCCCCATTGTGAGGTCCAGGTAGAATGTTCAACTCAGGCAGACTCCAAGCCCATCCTCACCCCCGCCTGCCTACCAGGAGCTCGCCCTCAGGCTTAGACCTGGGTTTCACTGTCCTTTCTGTCTGAGAACAGGTGGCGACACCGCCCGTGGAGACCCCTGGGACACCGCCTCGCTTAACTCCCAAGGTCAGGCCCGCCAAGATCTCTGTGTAGATAGCTCTTAAAAAGAGCGTGGTGAGGACTCATAGGTCTGAATTCTCGGAACCTGACAACCTGACGAGGGGCATGTCTTGGGTTTTCGAAGGACCACAGGCAGGAAAATTCAAGCAGTCAGAGAACGGAGGTGTGGGCACAGAGGGCTGCCATGGGGGACTTGGAATAGGGGAACCTGAGTCACCAGAGATGGAAAGTCCAAGCTATAGAGAGCCAGGTGCTTGGACAAGGGAGCCCCTAGGCCGGCAGTCAGAGAAAGGCTTTGAGCACCTGGGTTGGAAAAAAGTAGGGCCAGTGTCCAGTATGGAAGGTAGAATGTCCCCAGGAGAAGACTGACAGGCTAAATCCAGGTGTGCGCGACCTCCCAAGGAGAGGGCCCCCTGGCCAGGAAGGGGCGCGATAAGTTTCCATTCAACAGGACTTCTCTGGTCACCTACCTGCTGTGCCCCTGGGCCCTTTGCTGGCTGCTGGGGACGTGCCCAACCCCCAGCCTCACTGTAAAGTGAGCCAAACAGAGCCAGCAGCTACCAGCACAGAGCTGGGTAAGCGCCGCAGTAGAGACATGGCCGGGGAAGCCTGGAGAGCAGAGGGGAGCTTGCTGGGGCGGCAGGAAGCCGGACAGAGCGGGCACCTGCAGAGTGAATGTGGCCCAACAGAGGAAGCGTCCGTGCATTCCAGGCCAGGGCAGGACCTGGGCACAGCCTGGAGGCATGGAGAGCAGAGAGGGCAAGGAGGAGGGCACAGCCTCTGACCTCACAATACCCAGAGCCCACTGGGCCCGCCTTGCAACCTGCAAACTCCGGCGCCCTCCTCCAACCCGGGCAAGGCCCGGGGCCCTGGGCAGCCTCCAGGTGCAGCGCCCTCCCTTGGGCGGCACCCATCCTGCTGCCCCAGGGCATGTCTCTACTCACCAATTATGAGGGGCTTCGGCATCAGATCGAGAGGCTGGTGCGGGAGAATGAGGAGCTGAAGAAGCTGGTACAGCTCATTCGGGAGAATCACGAGCTCAAGTCGGCGATCAAGACACAAGCGGGTGGCCTGGGCATCAGCGGGTTCAGCTCGGGGCTTGGCGAGGCGGCGGCCAGCCCTCCTCAACGCCCGGGAAACTGTAAGACAGCGAGGAGGGAGGGTGGGTCTCGGGAAGTCCTGGAGAGAGGGCACAGACAGCAGCCACCTGCTGGGACAGGGGCCCCAGCAGGTGAGGGAGGGTGGGGGAGCACACGGGCCATAGGGATGGAAGTCCCACCCGCCCCGGTGGCCGGAGCCTGGCTTCTGCTCCCCTCAGCCAAGCAGCCCCAAAGACTGAGAACTTCCTAGCTCTGGAATCCAAATGTGCTACCCTACTGGGCCCAATACGTCACTCCCCTTCGGCCTCCCTCCCCCTCAGCACCCCCATTCCTCCGCGCCTGGAGGTGGCCAGGAGGCAAACAACAGCCCAAGTCCAGGAGCCAGGGTCAGAGGCCAGGATGGCAGCTGAGGTCCGGGAGGCATTAGTGTGTGACCGAGCCCTGGGGCCGCAGAACATCTACAAGCCAGGGTGACAGAAGAGGGAGTGAAGCCATGGGTGGTACGTGGGGACTGAGCCAGGACGCTCAGGGACGCTGCCCAGCTGGCTGCAGAGATAGGAACAGGGAGGTGCGGGAAGGACGGAAAGCAGGGGCGGAAACCGGCTGGCACTGAAGATAACGGAGGGAGACTCTGGCAGTGGCCGTGCCCGGCGCGAGGCCGTAGGAGTCAGTGGCTGACTGCGGCGGCGAAGGTCACACTGGGCGCGAGCAGGTGACAAAATCCTGTGGTTGTCACAGCACACCCTCCCCTCCCTACGGCGGAGAGAAGGCCGTGTGCCCTCCACTCCTGTCACGGGCCCTGCACCCCGCCCTCCCGCAGGCCCCTCTGGCCCCAGGCAGGCCTGGAACTATCCTCGTCCCCCGAAAGGAGGACTCCGCTCTTTCGCTGTCCCTGCCGACTGGGCCTCTGCAGCTCGACAGTGGACCCCGACACTCAGTGGTAGTGGTTCTAGAAAGGTCATGGGTGGCTTCCTAAGTGCCACATCCTTCTAAACCTCTGCATGGAATTTGGGACTGATAACCCCCCTCCTTCTGAGTTCCAAGAGCACCCTCGGCCAGGGCGTCCACCCCCGGCTCACCTCTGTCCCCACTGCTCCCAGGTTGGCCCAGGCCTGCCCTCCACCACCAGCCCTGTCAGCTCTGTGCTCCTGCCCCTACAGTCCCACTGCCGGCTCAAAGCCTCCTTCCTCTTACTCTTGAAAGCTGTCTCCCTCGGATCCCTACCCACCGGTTTCCCTGCTATTCAACCTGGCTGTTCATCCAACCCATCTTCACACCCGCCTTACTGACCACGAGAACACAGGCCCCTCTCCTTTGAAAGGCTCTCCTCTAAGGACAGAGACAACAGGCTGACAAAAATAAAGACCCAGGGAGGAACAAAATATAAGAAATCTCAAAGTTTAAGAAAAAAGTAAGTCTTCTCCTCTTAGGCTTGATTCTTAAAAGAATCCTTGGACCACTTCAGATTTGCCACCTCCTGAAGGATCCAGCTTAGAGGGTTAGGAAGGCTTTCTGAAGGTGAGCCCCGTAGTGACGGGAAGACATTACAGGATGAAGAGCACCTCACGCAAAGGGTAGGACCAGGGGCCTGCAGGAACATGAAACATCAGTGTGGTTAAAGCCCAGGCTGTGTGTGTGAGTGTTTGTACTGTGTATGAATGTCTGTGTGGCTGCATCTATGAGTGTGAGTGTCCATGGGATTGTATCTGTGAGTGTGAGTGTCCGTGTGGTTGTGTCTGTGAGCGTGAGTGTCCATGTGGTTGTATCTGTGAGTGTGAGTGTCCGTGTGGTTGTGTCTGTGAGTGTGTGAGTCTCTATGTGGTTGTATCTGTGAGCGTGAGTGTCCGTGTGGTTGTGTCTGTGAGCGTGAGTGTCCGTGTGGTTGTGTCTGTGAGTGTGAGTGTCCGTATGGTTGTATCTGTGTGTATGAGTCTCTATGTGGTTGTATCTGTGAGTGTGAGTGAGTGTCCGTGTGGTTGTGTCTGTGAGTGTGAGTGTCCGTGTGGTTGTGTCTGTGAGTGTGTGTCTCTATGTGGTTGTGTCTGTGAGTGTGAGTGTCTGTGTGGTTGTGTCTGTGAGTGTGTGTCTCTGTGTGGTTGTGTCTGTGAGTGTGAGTGTCCGTGTGGTTGTGTCTGTGTGTGTGTGTCTCTGTGTGGTTATATCTGTGAGTGTGAGTGTCCATGGGGTTGTATCTGTGAGTGTGAGTGTCCGTGTGGTTGTGTCTATGAGTGTGAGTGTCCGTGTGGTTGTGTCTGTGAGTGTGAGTGAGTGTCTGTGTGGTTGTGTCTGTGAGTGTGAGTGTCCGTGTGGTTGTGTGTGTGTGAGTCTCTATGTGGTTGTGTCTGTGAGTGTGAGTGTCCATGGGGTTGTATCTGTGAGTGTGAGTGTCCATGGGGTTGTATCTGTGAGCGTGAGTGTCCGTGTGGTTGTGTCTGTGAGTGTGAGTGTCCGTGTGGTTGTGTCTGTGAGTGTGTGTGTGTCTCTATGTGGTTGTATCTGTGAGTGTGAGTGTCCATGGGGTTGTATCTGTGAGTGTGAGTGTCTGTGTGGTTGTGTCTGTGAGTGTGAGTGTCCGTGTGGTTGTGTGAGTGTGTGTGAGTCTCTATGTGGTTGTGTCTGTGAGTGTGAGTGTCCGTGTGGTTGTGTCTGTGAGTGTGTGTCTCTATGTGGTTGTGTCTGTGAGTGTGAGTGTCCGTGTGGTTGTGTCTGTGAGTGTGTGTGTCTCTGTGTGGTTGTATCTGTGAGTGTGAGTGTCCGTGTGGTTGTATCTGTGAGTGTGAGTGAGTGTCCGCGTGGTTGTATCTGTGAGTGTGAGTGAGTGTCCGTGTGGTTGTGTCTGTGAGTGAGTGTCCATGGGGTTGTATCTGTGAGTGTGAGTGTCCGTGTGGTTGTGTCTGTGAGTGGGAGTGTCCATGGGGTTGTATCTGTGAGTGTGTGTGAGTCTCTATGTGGTTGTATCTGTGAGTGTGAGTGAGTGTCCGTGTGGTTGTGTCTGTGAGTGTGAGTGTCCATGGGGTTGTATCTGTGAGTGTGTGTGAGTCTCTATGTGGTTGTATCTGTGAGCGTGAGTGTCCGTGTGGTTGTGTCTGTGAGTGTGAGTGTCCGTGTGGTTGTGTCTGTGAGTGTGCGTCTCTATGTGGTTGTATCTGTGAGTGTGAGTGTCCATGTGGTTGTATCTGTGAGCGTGAGTGTCCGTGTGGTTGTATCTGTGTGAGTGTGCGGTTGTTTCTGTGAGTGTCCGTGTGGTTGTACCTGTGAGTGTGGGGATGTCAGGGCCGGTGAGAGGTGAAGAGCGTGGTAACGAGGTCAGCAGAGGTCAGATCAGCCAGGACAACAGGGGACCTGCTCTTAAGACAGCAAGCAGTGCCGGGAGGTTCCTGGCAGAGTGACCAGCTTTATGCTTCAGAAACATCACTCCTGCTGCGGTGGGAATGGGATTCGAAGGAGACCAGGGTGAGGCAGGGAGCCCACGGAGGCTCTCACAGTCATCCAGGGGGGAGCCCATGGTGGGAACGCGGGGTGCAGAGAAATCAACTTGAGTTATTTAAGAAAATGAAGTGCCTGGATGTGAGGGATGGAAGAGGGAGTTCCAGCAGAGGTGGCCGGGTGACGGGTGCTGTGACCTCCTGAGACCGCAGAAGTCTCCGTCCCTGTACCCAGCCAAGGAGGATCCCTGCGGTGGCCTCACAGGAACTTTCTCTGGCTACTGCCTTGTGCTGCCTGCTCCCCTGCCCACTCCTTGTGACTTGCCTTCCTCGTAGAATCAGGCTTCCGTTCTTGATTTGCTCTTGTGAACTCAGCCTCCAGTTCCTCTTTCTGAGATCCCTTGTGCTCTGTGTCGTAAACCCTGCGTTCCCAGCTCTGGCCGCCCACCCCCCCAGAAGGGCTGCAGGAGGAAACACAGCCTGGACTTGTGGATGCTCATGAGCGGCGCAGGACCACCCTGGCTGGGAACCCACATGACACCTGCGTGGAGCAACCACAAATCTGACGCTCCGGGAGAGGTCAGGGCCAGAGGGAGAAGGTTCAAAAGAGTTGATCACTGAAGCCACCGGAGGGGTGAGGCCAGCCAGGAGGGGACAGCAGAGCCAGCACAGGAGAGAAGCACAGAGACCAAACCTCAACGTGTAAGGTCACGGAGGCACAGCTTCGAGGCGACAGAGCATCACCAGAGTACAGGCTACGGAGAGGGCAGGCAAGAGAAGTGCTAAAGACGTGGGGGGCCTCTGATGACCTGGTGGCAATGAGCCTGCTTAGACTTGAGCCGCACCAGACGCAAGAGGCCCACGCCGTGAGGGCAAGAGCAACACGTGCCAGAGGGAACGGATAGGGGCTCGGTGCCTGCTTCCTGAGCGTGGCCTTGGGCGGGCACTAGCTGGACCAGGACCTGCAGTCAAGCTTCTCAAGCGAGCAGAGACCGGAGTTTGTTACCTTGAGGGGGGAAGAAGCCCGGAAAGACGCTGGAAGGTGCAGAATAGAACAGGGGCACTTCCCAGAGGGGAGGAGGGCAGGAGGCTGAGGAAGCTCCAGAACCAAGGCTTCGATCTTCCCGGTAAAAATGACGTTCTCTGAGAGCTGAAGAAGAGGATGGTCTGAAACAGAGTGAGCATGGCGGAAGGAACTGAGGGGGGACCCCGGTACCTCTGTGGGGCTGTGTAGGGAGCTCAATGCTGCGGCTAGCGTCTGTGGACCCTAAAGGCAGCGGCCACCAGCCTGCCCCAGCAGCCCTGGCTGGGGCTGGGGGGAGGGGCGGCAGGGACACTTGCTCGCTGGCTGAGGGTAATTGGAACAGCAGGCGATGACATCGTGGCTGTGGCCGCATGAACCTCACAGGGAAAAAACAGGTGCCAAGAGGTTCAGGCCTGGCCCCATGAACATGGCAGGTGGGACGAAGAGCCAGGATGGGATTAGGACTTCCAGGCCTCGTGCTCCTGGGGGTGGGAGCTCTGTTGCTCTTTCTACCTGGTACCTTCCCCCACTCCTCCTTCACCCAAGGCCATTCTGTTCCCCAGCCCCCACTGCCTGCTGCCCTCTCTGTCCTCTCTTGGGGGCTGCAGGCTGCCAGAAGCTTCCTGAGATGGGGGCAGCCTACTTCCTTTTTCCAGAAGGGCCTCTTACCACCCCTGCTCCCCACCTCCCTGCCCCTGCGCTTCCCCCAAACCAGGGGCTTCTTTCCTGCCTCAAAATCTGTCCATCCTCTCGGCCTTCTCCGACGTCCCCAGCCCTCGCCCCAGGACCCATCTCTCCTCCATAAGAACCCCAGCTGCCCCCCAAAACTCTGCTCACACCCCTTTCCCCCTCAGGTCCAGGGTCCCCAGGATGCAAACCCACCCCAGGAGCTGACGCTCAGCATCCTAGACCTATCCTCCCAGGCCCTGTCCCCCTCGGGACCTGTGCCCCTTCGGGCCCGTCCTCCTCCTCGGGGCGGTACCCCACCAGCGCTCCAGGACCCACCAGCCCTCGGGGCCGGTCCCCTCTCTCAGGACCTGTCATCAACCCCCCTCGCTCTTTCTCCCTTCCCGCCTCCTCAGTGTTCTTGGAACCCTCAGCTAGAGCCCTCAGCTAGAGCCCCTGCGCTCACCGATCTCCCCTCTGTGCACCCAGCCACCCACTCCACCCTCCCGGGTCAAAAGTCACAGCCCCGGGGCTCTGGCCCCGCCCCTACGTAGAGCCCCGCCTCCGCCTCGGTCTCCCGCGGGAACCTGACTCCTCGCGAGCCCGCAGTCTGCACGCCGGGGGCGGGGTCCGAGGCGGAGGCCCGCGGCGGTGGGCGGGTCGGGGGCGGGGTCCGAGGCGGAGAGCCGCGGCCGGGGGCGGGCCGGGGGCGGGGCCCGAGGCGGAGGGCCGCGGCGGTGGGCGGGTCGGGGGCGGGGTCCGAGGCGGAGAGCCGCGGCCGGGGGCGGGCCGGGGGCGGGGCCCGAGGCGGAGGGCCGCGGCGGTGGGCGGGAGGCCTGGGAGGGGCCTGGCGCTGGACACCCCCCACCACCACCACCACCAGCCCGGGACCGCAGTGGGGCGGCGGCGCGAAGCAGGGACTGCCGCTGGGAGGTGCAGGTTGGGGGTGGTCAGAAGTTCAGTAAAGCAGTTTAAAACATTGTAAAGTGGGGGGGGCCGGGTGGCTCAGTTGGTTAAGCGGCTGCCTTCGGCTCAGGTCATGATCCTGGAGTCCCGGGATCGAGTCCCGCATCGGGCTCCCTGCTCGGCAGGGAGTCTGCTTCTCCCTCTGACCCTGCCCCCCCTCATGTACTCTCTCTCTCTCTCTCTCTCATTCTTGCTCTCTCTAATAAATAAATAAGTCTTAAAAAAACATTGTAAAGTGCATTTGTAAATCTAAGACATTTGCTTGTCTAACTTTAATTGTCCCATGTAACACATCTTCCTGGACCCTAAATAATTGTTACATGTAAAATAAATATAAAGGCAGTGAATCTAAAGCTCTCTTTAAGGTTCTAATACTGTATCTAAACCTAAGAAGATTTCAACTTACAAATCTAAATCAATTAAATATAAATTATAAAAAGATGCAGGGGCTGGTGGCTGGCTCAGTGGTGGAGCACATGACTGATCTGGAGGTTGTGGGCTTAAGCCCCATGTTGGATGTAGAGATTACAAATAAAGTCTTTTTTAAAAAAATCAATCAGGCCCCTGGGTGGCTCAGGCAGTTAAGCCTCAGACTCTTGGTTTCTGCTCAGGTCATGATCTCTGGAAGTGGGATCTGTGTGGGGCTCTGCTCAGGGAGGAGTCCCCGTGAGATTCTTTCCCTCTGCTCCTCCCTGCATGGGTGCATGGTGCGCACTCTCTCTCTCCAATAAATAAATAAATAAAATCTTTTAAAAAAATAAATCAATTAGGGGCACCTGGGTGGCTTAGTCATTAAGCGTCTGCTTCGGCTCGGGTCCTGGGATCAGCCCCGCATTGGGCTCCCTGCTCGGCTGGAAGCCTGCTTCTCCCTCTCCCTCTGCCTGCCGCTCCCCCTGCTTGTGTCCCCTCTCTCGCTGTGTCTCTCTCTGTCAAATAAATAAATAAGTAAAATCTTAAGAAAAAAATCAATCAGGGGCGCCTGGGTGGCTCAGTCGTTAAGCGTCTGCCTTTGGCTCAGGTCATGATCCCAGGGTCCTGGGATCTAGCCCCGCATCAGGCTCCCTGCTCCGTGGGAAGCCTGCTTCTCCTTCTCCCCTCCCCCTGCTTGTGTTCCCTCTCTGGCTGTCTTTCTCTCTGTCAAATAAATAAAACCTTAAAAAAAAGAAAAGAAAAAATCAATCAATTAAATGCAAATTATAAAAAGATTAAACCATCACATGTATACTTTGCATTAGAACACAAAGCTATGGGACTGAAATGTCTAGTTGAGTTGTTATTTAGATTTCAGTTAACATACGGCGTCATATTAATCTTAGGTGTACAGCATAGTGATTCAACACTTCCATTCAATCCCCTGTGCTCATCACAACAGGTGCACTCCTTAATCCCCATCCTCTATGTAACCCATTCCGCCCCCCACTCCACCCCACCCCCTGGTCACCATCAGGGTGTTCTCTATTCTTAACAGTCTGTTTCTTGGTTTGCCTTTCTCTTTCTCTTTTTCTTTTTTTCCCCTTTGCTCATTTGTTTCTTAAATTCCACATATGAGTGAAATCAGATGGTATTTGAGACTGAAATTTGTTAAACAGGCTGGCTGCGGACCCCTGGTAGAACATTCCTGTTCACACCTCATGTCATGGCTTAAGTATTACTGGTGCTCCCCAAACTCATTTCCCCATCTCGCAGCCAGATATTTCTACCAGGTGGCTCCTGAGATTCTCATTGGTGACCCTGATGGACTGCAAACTCTATGAAGACTGTGTCTTGGCACTGAGCAGGGGACACACACTCCTCCATGCTCTGTGGGTGCATTTAGTTGGCCCCTGAACCATGAATGTTTTTCCTGGAAACCTAAATGCATATGACCCCAATGAATCCTTTTTAAAATAACTTTATTGAGATATAATTCACACACCATACAATTCACCTATTTAAAGTGTGTGATTCAATAGTTTTTCATATACTCACAGGTTTTTACAAAAATCACCACAGTTTTAGAACACGTTCATCACCCCAGAAAGAAACTCTTTAGCTATGATGCTCCTATTCCTCTACAACTCTCAGCAACCATTTATCTACTTTCTGTTTTTATGGATTTGCCTATTCTGGATATTTCTTTTAAATGGAATCATAAGTATGTGGCTTTTGTGTCTGGTTTCTTTCACCTAGCACAGTGTTTTCAAGGTTCATCCATGCTATAGAGCGAACCAGTACTTCCAGTCGGTATTAGGTTTTTGTTGTTTCATGGATGAATAATATGTCATTAATGGATACACAACATTTTATCCATTCATCAGTTGATGGACTTTTGGGTTGTTTCCTCTTTTGGGCCATTATGAATAACACAGCTATAAACAACCATATACGAGTTCTTGGGTGGATTTATGTTTCCATTTCTTGTGGGTATATATCTAAGAGTAGAATTGCTGGGTCATATGGTAAATGTATGTGTAACTGTTTGAGGAACTGTCAGATTGTTTCCCAAGGTGGCTGCACTATTTTTCATTCCCACCAGCAATGTAGGAGTGTTCCAATTTCTCCATATCCTTACCCATACTTATTATCTGATTTTTTAATTATAGCCATCCCAGTGAGGGTGAAGTGGTTCTGATTTGCATTTCCCTGATGCATAATAATGCTGAGCATCTTTTCTGTGCTAATTGTCCATTTGTATATCATCTTTGAGAATGTCTGTTCACGCCCTTTGCCCGTTTTAAAGTTGGGCAACTTATTTTTTTATTATTGAGTTGTAAGAGTTCTTTAGGAATTCTGAGTACAGGTCCCTTATCAAATGTATGAGTCGCAAATACTTTCTCCCATTCCATGGGTTGTCTTTTCTTTTGTCTTTTGAAACACAGAAGCTTTTAATTTTGATGAAATCCATCTCATCTATTGTTTCTTTTGCTGTTCACAGTTTGGGGGCCACATCTAAGAATACATGGCCAGGGTGCCTGGGTGGCTCAGTTGGTTAAGCGACTGCCTTCGGCTCAGGTCATGATCCTGGAGTCCCGGGATCGAGTCCCGCATGGGGCTCCCTGCTTAGTGGGGAGTCTGCTTCTCCCTCTGACCCTCCTCCCTCTCATGCTCTCTGTCTCTCATTCTCTCTCTCTCAAATAAATAAATAAAATCTTTAAAAAAAAAAAAAAAAGAATACATGGCCAAATCCAGGGTCCTGGAAATTTACCCCTGTGTTTTCTTCTACGAATTTTATAGTTTTAGTTCTTACATTTAGGCCTTTGATCCATTTAACTTTTGTATATGGTGTGAGGTAGGCATCCAACTTCATTCTTTTACATGTGGATTCCAGTAGACCCATCACCATTTTTTGAAAAGATTATTCTTTCCCCCAGTGAATTGTCTTGGCCCCTTGTTGAAAATCAGAGCACAGATACATGGGTTTATTTCTGGACTCCCTATTCTATTCCATCGATCTATATGTCCCTCACTATGCCAGTGCCACGTAATCCTGATTACTGTAGCTTTGTAGTAACTTTTGAAATCTGAAACTGAGTCCTCCAACTTTTTCCTTTCTCCCTTGCTTTCTTCCCTCTCTGTCTCTTTTTTGCTTAGGTAGTGTAAAAGGGAGAAGTGCAGGGTGGCTAAGTGGCACCTGTAATAATGCCTTCTCTCTTTTAAAATGTGGCTTCAGCCATTCTGGGTCCTTGCAATTCCTTGTGAATTTTAGGACCGGCTTGTCAGTCCTACAAAGAAGTCAGTTTGGATTCTGACAGATTGCATAGAATCTGCAGGTGAACTTGGGGAGTATTGCTCCCCATGGGATGCTTTTCCATTTATTTAGGTCTTCTTTAATTTCTTTCAAAAGTGTTTGTCATTTTCTTGGGGCACCTGGGTGGCTCAGTCGATTAAGCATCTGCCTTCAGCTCGGGTCATGATCTCGGGATCCTGGGATCAATCAAGCACAATGTCCAGTTCCCTGCTCAGCAGGGAGCCTGCTTCTTCCTCTGCCCCCCACCCAGCTCGTGCTCTCACTCACTCTGTCTGTCTCAAATAAATAAATAAAATCTTAAAAAGTAAAGTTTCAGGACACCTTGCCACACATTCTGTAGAGTGTTCCAGGGGCATAGATTTAAGCAACAAGCCCAGGAACTTCCAAAGGAATGTCAGAATGTTTCTGAGGGGTCTTACAGAAGGTAGATTTAGCAGTGTGCATTAAGGACCACTAGAATGTCTGTTTTCAGGGGGAAGAATCAATAATAAAGATTTTCGTAGGTATCATGGTCAACATCACTCATCTTCAGGGAAATACAAATCAGAACCATGACAAGATATCACCTCATACCAGTCAGAATGGCTAAAATCAACAACACAGGAAACAACAGATGTTGGCGAGGATGCGGAGAAAGGGGAACCCTCCTACACTGTTGGTGGGAATGCAAGCTGGTGCAGCCACTCTGGAAAACAGTGTGAAGGTTCCTCAAAAAGTTAAAAATAGAACTACCCTATGACCCAGCAACTGTACTCCTAGGTATTTACCCCAAAGAATACAAACACACTAATTCAAAGGGATACATGCCCCTCCTATGTTTATAACAACATTATCTACAATAGCGAAGATATGGAAGTAGCCCAAGTGTCCATCGATAGATGAACAGATAAAGAAGATGCAACACACACACACACACACACAGTGGAATATTACTCAGGCATAAAAAAAAAAAGAAATCTTGCCATTTACAATGATGTGGATGGAATTAGAAAGTATTATGCTAAGCGAAATAAGTCAGAGAAAGATACCATATGATTTCACTCACATGTGGAATTTAAGAAACAAGCAAATGGAAAAAGGAAGGAAGGAAGAAAAGGAAAGGAAAGGAAAGAAAAGAAGAAAAGAAAAGAAGAAAGAGAAAGAGAGGCAAACCAGGAAACAGAATCTTAACCCTAGAGAACACACTGATGGTCGCCAGTACAGGGGGAGGGGGGAACAGGTGATGGGGATTAGGGTTAAGGAGTGCACTTGTCCTGATGAGCACCAGGTGATATGTGCAAGTGTTGACTCACTATATTGTACCCCTGAAACTAATATTGCGGTGTATGTTAACTACACTGGAATTAAAATTAAAAACCTATTAAAAAAGGCTTATGTAGTAGAATTTATTTGTCACTGGGAAAACTGGAATCAATTTGCATGCCCAAGGATTGGAAGAGGCTCAATGAACCGCAGCACGCGCCCGAGCCCGAGCCCAGCAGCCACGATGAGTGCTGTTCTCAGAGAAGGGTGGCCGGAGGCCATCCAGCAAGAAGACGGGGAGGACATAAGGACAAGGAGGACAGACAAGGCTGCCACCTGTTGGTCCGTGGCCCTGGAGCTAAGAACGCATTTCACATTTTTAATGGTTGAAAGAAAATCAAAAGAATACTATTTCCAGACATGCCAAAAGTACACGAAATTCAAATATGAGCGTCTGTGAATAAAGTTTGGTTGCTATGGATCCACATTTGTTTCCGTGTTGTCTGCGGCCGCTTTGCCCGCACAGCGGCTGGGCTGAGTTGTTACAACAGAGACCAGACACGGCCTGCAAAACTGGAAATGTGTACCAGCAACCCTTAACAGAATAGGTTCGTCGACCCCTGGTTGATAAAACGTGTGGAGAAAGTCGTCAAGGCAACACGGAGCTTTGTATTGTGACTAACAGTGCGGTGAGAGGACTAGAGGTTTCTAATCTTACATTCACTTTTCTGTAGCTCCGTTCTTTCTCTGCAGTGAGCATGTATGGCTTTTAGAACAACAACAGGGGTAGCAGTTTTCAATCAAAACCTTCCCCGCACCCTCCCCCCAGCTTCTGCGGCCCTAGGGGTCTTCTCGCCCACAACAGTGGTCATTCAAGGGCACTGTCCTCAGGAACCCAAGAGAAATGGGCTCTCAGGCCCCGACACAGGGATCCAGGAGTGTGAAGCCGCATGTCTGGGCCAACCCACCCTCCTGAACCCGCATTTACTCTTCCCAGAGATGCTGTGCCTATTCTAGCCCTGGCCTCCCTGAGGGCCCCCCACCTGGGGAGGCTAGCCCCACAACAACAGTGGGCAGGAGGCCGGGACCCACTGCTCCCTACCAGGGAATGGATGGGTCAACTTGGCAACCTGGGGGACCAGCCGCCAGAAGACGCTCCTCGGTGGGGCGTCAGCCGCTCAGAGCAGCGGGCACATCTGAGGGGTGGGCAGCTGTGGAAGGTCCCTATGACTCGGGGACAGGTGTTCAGAGAAGTGAGCCTGGAGGAGCAGATGGAGAGACAAGAGGCCAGACCCTCATGGGGGATCTGTGGAGGCGCCCCCCAGAACCCCCCTAAGGTAGAGAGCCATTGTCTGGCCCACTAAGAGATGAGGCTCAGAGCTGGTCAGCTCATCAGAGGCAGACAAGCACCCTGGCCTAGGCCCCTTCCTCGATGGGCCTGCCTGGGGTCTCAGTGCTTTTTCTGTGTCCCCCCCAGGTGTCTTCCTGCCCCCGTCCCCGACAGCCACAAATGAGCCTATCCTGGATGAAATGGGGATTATGACTCTGGCGCCCCTGGCCGACATGCTGAACAGCCCACAGCCCAGCCCCGCAGCAGGCGCCATCATGAACCCCCTGATGGGCCCCCTCAACACACTGCTCCCTGGACCAGGGTCCATGTCACAGAGCATCCCGCTCACCAGCCTCCTGACCAGCCCCCTGAGCAGCCACCTGACTGGCCCCATGGCAGTGTCCCCGGGGGGCACACTGACCAGCTCCCTGGGTCTGCCTTCAACTGGCCCCCTGAGCAGCCATGTGACTGGCCCCATGGCAGTGTCCCCGGGGGGCACACTGACCAGCTCCCTGGGTCTGCCTTCAACTGGCCCCCTGAGCAGCCACCTGACTGGCCCCATGGCAGTGTCCCCGGGGGGCACACTGACCAGCTCCCTGGGTCTGCCCTCAACTGGCCCCCTGACTCCAAGCAGCCCCCTGATGGCCCCTATGACAGGCACAGTGGCCGTCTCTCTGAGCAGCCCTCTGCTCACCTCCATGGCTGCTCCTCTAGGTGTTTCTCAGAACCTTCTGGCCAACCCCATGAGCAATCTGGTGCTGTCGGAGGCCCCGAGGGTGCGGCTGTCAGAGCCGCTCCGAGGATGCCCCTCCAGACCCCATCCCTCAGCTGGAGCAGGGCCTGCCGCCACCACCAAAGGTAACTGGCTCAGGGGGAGGGACAACAGCCCCCCTCCCCACCACCAGGCCAGTCCTTGGTCCTGCTCTGATCCTACTTCTCTCCTTTCTGCCCCACCATGTCACTAGTCCCAATCTCCACTGAGCATCCCCAGCCGACCCAGGACCTGGAGCCCTTCAGCATGACATTTGTGGGCTCACCCATCCAGGCCTCCACCCCTATCGGGACTAGGGGCACGCCTGGCCCCATTACCACCTTTTCCTACAGCAGCTCAGACGCCCAGACCCAGCCCAGTGCCCCTAAGGGACAAGCAGTTCCTGTATCTGTCCCCACCACCCCACCTGTCTCTCCAACTGCCACAGTCCTCGTCCCTATCCCTACTCCCGCCCCCCAAGCTACCACCAACTACACCCCCTCGAGCACCACCCACATTGTCCAGTGCCCCCCCCAGTCTCCCACCCGGCCACACCACTCCCCCACCCAGCCCTCGCCCACCCCCCACTCCCCTCCACGAAACCCCCACTCCCCGCCCCGAACCTCATCCTCCCCGGCTACAGTCAACGACACCCGGGGTCCACGTGGCGCAGAGACATCTCGGAAAAGCATCCTAGAGTTGGAACGGAAGCTAGCCCACCGAAAGACCAGCAAGTTCCCTGAGAGCCCCCGAGGTCAGTGACACAAGGTCAACACGGGGGGTCTCCCCTGATGCCCTTGTGGACCTCCCTGGCACTAGCCTGGGCTGCTGACCATGACCACTGACCACTCCTTCCACCCCTTGCTTTCCCCAGAGTCAAAGCAGGTAGTCTGGGAGAGGCTGGTGGGGGAGATTGCCTTCCAGCTGGACCGCAGGATCCTGTCCAGCATCTTTCCTGAGCGCGTGCGTCTCTACGGCTTCACTGTCTCCAACATTCCAGAGAAGATCATCCAGGTGTGTGGCGCCCATCTCCCACTCAGAGGGTCTGCCCCTTCCACCTGTCAGGGATGGGAAGCATGCTGGCCTTGGAGGAGCTGCTGGGGGACCCTGCCCTCCAGCCTGGCCAAGCACATCAGAATCCGAGGACCCCCTAGGACGGAGGAAGCACGGTGTTCAGTCCAAGTGGCCAGGGGGTGTCCAGGGCATCTGGCATCAGGAGCCTGTGGCCTTAGCCACATGGCTTCCCCAGAGGACAGGGCAGGGGAGGGTCCTGAGCATGGTCAGGCCTGCACTCTCCTTTGCCACTGCAATGGTCTCCATATGGCCAGCCCTCACTCCCAGGGGCCCTCCCCAGACTAGCAGAGCTGATGCTTTCCCCACCCCGTTGGTACCCTCAAGGGTCACTGGGGAGGCAGGCAAAGGGGAGGCAGGTCCCAGAACCTCTGACCAGCTGGCGGCCTCATGGCCAGGGGCCTCAGGCCCAGGCTCATTCCAGTATATTCTTAGCATGCCATTCACTGAGCTTGCTTCCATTGAGGGACACAGAGGACAGTGCTTCCCAAAGGTGCTTGGGCGTGTCTACCTTGCCACCATGCGTGGGAAACTCTCCAAAGCAATGGAGGGGTGGGGTGCAGTCATGGGATATGGGCTGTGCTTGGCTGGATACCCAGAAGCAGCTGTCCAGAATGATGGCATGTGTGCCCGTCCCCCACCAATGTGCCAACTCTGGGTGGGACCCCATGCCTCGGGGTGGGGGAGGTGGGCCATCTGGGCCTTCTTTGGGAAATAGCCTTCAGTGCTCCCGGCCACTTTCTCTCAGGCCTCTTTATCTATAGATTATAGACCTGGTGTGTGATCCGCAGGAATAACTTCTATTAGAGTGGGCTCGTTTGTATCCAGGTTTGAGCTTGCCTTTTCCTTTGCTTAGGGTGTCCTTTGGTTGGGTTTTTAATTTTAATGTGGTCAGAATGATCCACTTTTCCTTTATTGCTTGTACTTCTCATGTCTCACTGAAGGCTAGAGCGGTAGAGGGCAAAGGGGTGCTGTCCAGCCCTGCCTCGGTCCTCCCTCCTGGGCCCACGTGTGTGGGCTGTTGGGACTGCCCCCTGACCCTCCCCAGCCCACGGTGTCCTCTGCACGGGATGGTGACAGAGCCTGGGCACCTCTCTTCTTCCAGACTCTTTCTGCTCCTCTGGACCCTTCACTCCTCACTCTGACTTTTAGGATCATCCGTCAAGCTCCAGGAAAAACCTAGTTCAAATGTGTAGTTTTGCATTGCCAGGGAAGTTTCCCATCTTCACAATGTTGGTTGTTCCTATGCACCTGCCGTTTCTGTTGCTCATGCTGCAGGCCCACCGTGGTCACGTTTGGTCTGATGATCCTTGACTCACATCCGGGGACCTCGGCCACCACCGCTGTGTCACAAGAGCACATTGGCCGTGGCTCTTTAAAAACCGGCAAACAAACAGTGGAAGCACAATATTAGGCCTCTAAAATGTTACGTCTGATATCCAACTGGCAGAGATTACAGTTAATTATAAGCACAAGTCTAGCTGCCCACACAGAAATTAGATATTAAGCGGTAAAAGAGGTTTCCTACTGTTTGAGAATGCCCGTTAGAAGGTGATAAAGACCCGTCAACCACTGATGCTGGCCGTCCAAGTCCGCTGATTCCGGCTCCTCTTCACTTGCCCTGAGGGTTAGCGTCTATGCTACAGAATGTAACAGTCACGGCATTAAATGGCAACTCTTGGACAAGAGGCAGGAAGGTGAGAGCGGGATGCATGTAGGGCAAATTTTTCTGGCGTCTTGAGGAAGTCAAGGAGCTTGGCACCCCCTTGGCCAGTGCCTTGGCCGCCATCTTGGCAGCCTGGGGGGGTGGGGAGGGGGCTGTGGCTTTCCCCAAACACTCATCTGCTCATTCTGCCCCATGGCCACCATCACCATTTCCAGAGCCACTGGGCCCATTCAGCAATGACCACTGCTGCCAGGGGCCATACACTTGCCGCCCAGGCTCCCAAGAAGCGGCCCCACTGCAGCCCACCTGCACAGAAGTTGCCTTTGGGGCTGGGCAAACACCGCCTGGCTTGCCCTCTGGAGAGCCCACTGCAGGTTGATGATGTCTGGTTCCACCTGAGGAACATAAAGATTCATCCTGCTCTTAAGGCCATCCATCCTGCCTGCTTTGCTGGCCCATTTGCTGGTTCCTATCAGCATCCAATTCTACTTTGCCCAAATTTCTGTTTCCCTTCCTCAGAACATCTTGTTTTTCTGCATGTTGAACCCCATCCTTGGTTGTTGCTAGAATCCCTCAATTCTATCCAGACCCACTAAACCTGCTCAAACCTGGTGTCCAAATCTGGCTCATTGCCTTCGTGAATGCCATATAGGTTGATCACTGAAAAGCTTTAATAGAGCCCCATTGCAAGGAGGACTCATTGACTATTTTCAATGAATCTGGCCATCTTTTTGAAAAGTTCACAGTTACCCATGCCATCTTTTAAGCTCAACTAAAAGTTGTCCCAATGCCCCAAACTGTCACTTCTTTTACCCAGTTGCAAAGGCCTTCTGCTGGGAAGCGGGGGTGCTCTCAGCCTGCCGTTCGCTCCCAGTCATGGCAGACCAGGAGTCCAGCCACACCAGTAAGAGGGTGGTACCTGGTGGTGTGTCCAGCTGGGTCCTGGTGCCCCTGGCGCTCTCTGGGGCCTCACTCACTGGCCTGCCGACAATGGTTTTGGGTTTTGCCTAACGGTTTGTTTCCAGCTACCGTGCCAATAGCCTGTATATCATCTTGGCTTTACTATGTAGACAATCGTATTGTATACTATTTAACAGAAGCAGACAATAGGGCAACCTCATCCTGTTTCTGACTCGACTAGGAATACACACTTCAAGTCTGCGTTAAGTATGATGTGTGTTCCATGCTTTTTGCCAGATCTTCAAGCCCCAGCTTTTGGCTGCAGATAACAGAAACCACGCTAGCTGGTGTAAACAGAAAGAGATTTCTTATAAATGTTTAGGCGACGACACAAAACTGGCCACAGAAGTCGGTACGGGGTCACAGCCACTGCACTCTGCCGAAAACCCGGGGGCACCTGGCCCCCAGGCATCTGCTTCCACCTGGGCAGAAGCCACAGGGGGAGTCGAAAAGGCTTTCGGCTTCGGGAAAGAGGCACTAGAACAGAAGCCAGATGACCCGCTTCAGCATCTGCCACATCAGGTTAAGAAGTTCTTCCTCGTCCTCGTTTATGGAGAGTTGGGGGGAGCGGGGAGTCTGAACCATGAAGAAATACCGATTTTTTTTTTTTTAGAATGTTTTTTCTCTTTCATTGAAAAGATCACATGAGTTTTCCCTCCCTCCCTGTTCTCTTAACATCTCGAGATACAGACCGTAAACCACCCTGCATCCCTGGTGGTTTTAGTGCCCTGAGACGCTGTTTGCGGCTATTCATGACTTCTGCAGCTTCGCTACATCTTTAGAGAACAGGCCCTGCTCCTGTGACAGATCGGCAACCAGGAGTCTTTCCCCATCGGGCCGTCGGACCCTGCGGCCCAAGCCCTAGCAGCTTGCGGGTCGGAAGTCCGGGACTTGGCCCAGGGGCGGAGCTCACAGCCTCACTCTCACCTTATTGGCTGGAGCTTAGTGACGTCAGGCCTCGCGGCAGGAGGGCGGGAGTGCGGTCTCCGCCCCGAGCTGCCCGCGCGGAGGAAGGCTGAGTGCCGGGCCTATCCTCCATCTGGTCTGTCTGAGCACTTCTGTTGAGCCTTAGGATTTTTTTGGGCCTTAGGATACTGTTTCCTCCTTTCTGCTCATGTCCTTCCTTCTGCTTGCTTTAGATTGGCTTTATTTCTCTTTCTTGGGCTGAGCACTTAAGCTATTTTACTTTACATGTCTTTTGTTGGTAAGTACGTTTGGGGCAAGGAAGTCCCCTCAGGTCGGGGAGATACGCAAAATGTTTAACCAGCGGTGCGTCAGGAATCCCAGCCGGGGTGGATCCTGGCAGAGGGAGAGGGCTCTGCTGTTTGCGCGCCGGCGCGGAAATGCGGCAGCGCCCCCGAGCGTCCGCCCCCGCCCGGCTCCCCGCGGCGCTCGGGCTGCGCCCCCGAGGTGGGCGGGGAGCTGTCGAGGTCCACATATTTCACAAACTGCGTTGGAGTTCCTCTCTAACCCCCGAATCCGTTAGGTGCATCTCCAGTCTCCATCATCGGAGGGGCCTTCAGCTGTCTCTTTAGTTCGATGTCTAACGCACTTGCCCTGTGCTCTAAGAACGAGGGCTGAACCACACCGATTGTCATATTTGCTGCCCTTTCCCTATCACTGAACACGTGGCCAATGTCGTGGGTGTTCCAGGATGGAAAGACGGGGTGGTGCGCACCTGTGCTCCCTCTCTTGGAGGTGCGTGCATATTTGGTCACACCTGTTCTCTCCTCCACAGCTGATCCAACACAGGGTCCCCTGCTGATTCTCCCTCTACAGACGTTTCCCATGTACACATCTGCATCTACAGTCGCCTACCCCTGGACCAAACTGCTGCCACTTTACTGGTCCACAGCTACGCTTCCCCTCCATCTATTCACTCCTATTATGGGGCATTCAGTGCATGCCACGTTCATACCAAATAGACAGTCTCTGCCCTCGGGGAGCTCACCCATTCCCCGGAGGCCTTCAATAAATATTTGTGCTAGAGGTTTAGGGGGTGATACATGCTATGAGGGGCAGGAGAGTTTGAGGGTGGGAGCTAGGCACTGAGTTGGCCTTGCTGTCTCCCCCCCCACACCCCACCCCCACACACCTATACTCTGGCCAACTCCAACATCCTGGAAAAGCCCCTCTCTCCTCTATTCCTTTGGAACACAATTCTGCTCAATGTGAGAGCCCATTGATGTGTCCTGTGGAAATGGTGGCCCCTTGTGGTGGTGCAGACCAGCACAGATGTTGTGCTTAGCACCCCCTAGAGACATTTCCTTTCAACTTCCAAAACAGCTGTCAGGCGGTCTGGTTTCCTTCATATCATAGCAGGGAAACTGAGGCTCAGACCCAGTATGATGACAGAAGCAGCCATTGAAACCGGCTCTCCATGTGGGCCCCTTGCTCTGCACTGTGCCTCCTGGCACCTTCCATGCCATGCATGCTGTTCCTTGTCCTGGAAGTTCCTTTGCTCCTGTTGTTCTCATCCTTCAGATGTCAGCCCTGCCATCCTCTCCCCTCCAGAATGCCCCCCCCAGGCCACCTGGTTGCTCCCCATGGCAGCACTCAAAGCACTCCTCCTGCTCAGTCTTGTCATCACTGTAAACCCAGAGGGCTTTGCTCACACTTGAATCCCATCACCTGCTACAGTGCCGCACGCAGGGGAGGGCTGAGGACATCTGTGGGATGGACGCACGGAACCCTCACCCTCTCTTCCCGCTTCTATCCACCCCCTTATATGGTCAGCATGATCTTTTAGAACCACAATGCCAATGGACCAGAAGTCTCTGACCCTTTAGGACAGAACCCTCCGCCATGCTCTCTGCTCAGCCCTGCCTGCTTCTCAGTGCCTGGAAGGTGTGGTAGGGACTCATGCCCATGGCTCTCTGGCTTCAGTGGGGTGCCTTCCTGCTCTTCCCCACTCAATCCCCTCGCCTGTCCCTCCACTCTCAAGGGTCACCTCTTTGGGGCGGGCCTGGCCTTGTCTCTTAGTGTAAATGCACCCACATTCCTCTCCCAGCACCCTGGCAGGGTGGGTGCAGTGTGCCCCCTGGAGGACTTCTGCTCCTGTCTGGAGCTCCATTCACCCAGTGTGGCACACAGCAGCTCAGCCCCAGCCCCAGAGTGAGCAGACGATGGGTCCTGACATCCCCACGGGGGGCCGACGCTTAAAGCTATCCACCTGCTGCGCTCTGCCATTCAGCAGCATGAAGGTTCACCTGCTTACCCACAAATGCTGGCTGAGCTCCTGCAGTCTGGCTGACAGGGGGCACGGGAACAGGCAAATGGAGGGAGAAGGCTTAGGGGCCAAGAGGAGCCTAGAATCAAGGAGACAGGCTTGTTTTAGTGTTGACTGTTCACCTGAAGTGCTGAGCATTGGCCTCTGGGTGCATCTGCCAGAGGTCAGGCTCACTTTAGCTGAGCCCAGCCGTGAGTCCAGTGTTCTGTTCACATGACCAGAAGAGAGGACAGAGGATTTTCCTGGAGAAGGTGAGACTAAGCAGCTTGTTCTAGCGGCTTAGGAAGCAGCCTGGTGGGCATCCAGGGAATGGTTGGAAGCAGGGGAGCAGGGCCAGATCAGGCCCTGGCCCCAAGGGGTGGGGCAGTGGGAAGTGCAGGAGGGCTCAGGCAGGGAGAGACCCCCTCCAACTACTTCCGACCTGTCAATCCGTGGGTCTGGGCACAGCTGCACCTGTGACAGCTACATCATTTGCAGGACTCCATGCAAATGAAAATACAGGGCTCCTTGTTCGGCAAGAGCTCCTTGTACAGCAGAGCATTAGCTGGGTGTGGGTCCTTCTGAACAGGGGGCCCTGAGTGAATGTACAGGTCACATGCCCAAGAGGAAATGGCAGGAGCGGATGCTGCGGAACGCAGTCACTGCCTGGTTGGGGGGCACAGCCTGAAGAAGTGGGTGGACACTCACCCGGTTGCTGCCAGTCCCCAGGTCCAGGTACCAGGAGGGGTCACCAGAGGGGCAGCAGGACCCCCAGTGCTGAGACCAAGGGTGCTTGGCTCAGGGCCTGGGGTGGTCAGTTCAGCCTGAGGGGAGGACAGGGCCTTTCGGAAGGAGGGGTGCAGGTGGTGGGTGCTGAGGATGCAGCACAGCGTGGCAGAGAAGGGACCTGGAGAGGAGGTGGAGGTCTCAGGGCAGGGAGCCAGGAGGGCGCCTGGGAAAGGCCCTGAGTGGTATGGGCCAGGCACCCCCATGGCCATCAGGGACCCCCTCCTCTTTCTTTCACTTCCAGACTCCCAGCCACACTCCCTGTCAGCATTTCAGAGCCTCAGCTCGGTCCAAATTCCCTGCCGGTGGGTGGAGCAGGTGATAGGGATGGGGTCTGGGGAACTCCCCCCTCCAGCTCAACCCACTAGGTTCCCCTACCCTAGACCCCTTGGAGCCTCTCCCCCAGGACGTCCAGGACACCTGCGCCCACCCACGGCCACGGCCCTCGGCCACATTCGCCCCTCTCCTGGCTTTGTACCAGTGCAGGGCGCAGACACCCTGACGGCCACTCTCCCCTCAGGCCTCCCTGAACCCCCGCGACCACAAGCTGGATGAGGAGCTGTGCCAGACACTCACACAGCGCTACGTGAGCATCATGAACCGGCTACAAAGCCTGGGCTACAACGGGCGGGTGCACCCAGCACTGACCGAGCAGCTGGTGAATGCCCACGGCATCCTGCGAGAGAGGCCGGAGCTGGCTGCCTCGGAAGGCGGCTCCTACACCATGGACTTCCTGCAGCGCGTGCTGGTGGAGAATGTGCACCCCAGCATGCTCTCGGACGCGCTGCTGCTACTCTCCTGTCTCAGCCAGCTGGCGCACGACGACGGCAAGCCCATGTTCATCTGGTGACCCCGCTGGGCGGCCCGGGTCCGCCCCGCCCCGCGCCCCGCCGGGTGCAAAGCCATTAAAGCTTCCCACAGACGCTGGCCTCTGGGCCCGGGCTCGGTGGTGCGCACCTCCGGGGTGGCTGGCCAGCTCCTCACTCCCCTGCACCCCTTCGATCCTGCCTGCTCTGGGGCTCCATGCCCACCCCAGGGCCCTTGGTGAGAGCCCCAAGACCGAAGCTGGGCAGCTGTTTGGCTAAGGGTGGGGGCGGGGGGGGGGTCCTGTTCAAAGGTCCCAAGGCTTCCCTCACCTGGCAGTGGGAGCAGCAGAAGCCCTGAGACTTGGAGGGGGGAGAGCAGGAAGTGCTGTTCCAGCAGCATTAGTGATGTGCCCGGAGCTGAAGCCTGGGTGCAGTGTGGAAGGCAGAAGTGGGAAGGAGACAGGATGTGGATGGGGGAATCCTTCCCTCTGTACTAGGCTGGGAGGAAGGGAGTGGGAGAGGGAGAGAGTCTAAAGCCCTCCCTGAGGGCAAGAGGATGTTAGATGGAGGGAAGAAACCAGGAGAAAGTAGCCTCACCCAAACCTGAGCCAAGGGGCAGCCCAGGGAGATGGGGCCAATTCCTAAGGCACTGCTGGCCCAGCAAGAAGAGAGCTGCTCCACAGGGCTCTGAGGCTGAGCTGGAGAGGGCAGAACCTACCTGCTGCAGGGGCGGAGCACAGGCAGGATGGGAAAGAGGTGGGGTGGGGGTAGGGGCTGTAAGACGGGACACGGGGACACCGGGACACCGGGAGGGGGAACCTGTAGACAGATGGGACGGGCCTGTGGACAGTGCAGGAAACGAGGCAATGTAGGCAGGATGCTTGTCCTTGCGAGGGTGTGTGTGCTAAACAAGAGAAGGGCAGTGGGGGGCAGCCCACAGAGTGGCCTCTGGCCCACAAAGGGAACAGGAGAGGACCTGCCTGAGGAAGGGAAGGAGGCTGGAGCTGCAATGGGAGGCAGAGGGTGGGCTGAGAAGGTGGGAATGATGAGCCCAGCAGAGGAGGCTCCTGGAGCACCAGTGCGCACCAGCCAGAGGACTCTGAGGGAACAGAGGAATCCTATCAGCAACCGGCGAGGAATGCAGGAAGGAGAGGGTTGTGGGGTGTGCCCAGGAGCTCCCTGCCTCTCTGCCCTCCCCACTCCCAGGCCTGCTACTTCAAGGGATCCAGCCAGACCCCTGGGAAAGGCAGGGAAGGACTCTCCTATAGATATGTAGAGATCTATAGATAGAAATGTAGCTCTGTCTGCTGAGAAGGCCCAGCATCAAGACACACCAGGAACAGGGAACACAGCCAGCACCAGATCTTGGTTTCTCAAGGGATCAGGGATTCCTGGAGAATTGGGAGGTGGGGGGCCAGAAACCCCTCCCCCGCCCTGCCAGTAAGGCTAATGGCAGCCCTGACTCAAACTACAGGGCAATTTAAGAGCCAACCAGGAGAGCTTTGGGGTCTGGTTCACAGCTCAGATCAGAAAGGTGGGGACCCAGGCAGCACCCCAAGGAGCGCGAGGCAGCACGGTCCTGGGAACCAACGGAGCAGGTGCGAGAGGGCTCCCGGGATGGGGAGCTGGTTTCCATGTGGCTCACGTGCGGGGGAGGGGGAGGGGAGGGAGCGGCGGCACAAAGCCCAACCAACAGTCCCTTACCCCCAGATTGGAAGCTCCTTGGGGTAGGGTCACAGAGCCCTCACCACGGGGGGGGGACAGGCCTCTGGGGGAAGCTCTGCGGGGCGCTCAGTGGGTGGCTTGTTAGGCCGCTCAGAGTCCGTCCCTCCTCTGGGGAATGTGTCTTTGAACTCAGTTGCTGGACACTGCAACCCAGGCAGACGGGTGGGGGTGGGGTAGACCCTGCAGTCGGGGCAACAGGAGGGCCCTCGCAATTCTGCGCGGGCTTGCGGGGAGAAGGGAGGGAGCTGGACGCAGCATGCACCGCACTCCCTTCACCAGCCGGCCGGCGCTAAAAAGTACCGTTCTCCACTCGGTGCAAGCTGCACCCCAGTCCATGCTCCCGTGGGGCAGGTCTGGGGGTTCTCCCGGCGTCCTTCAGGGGAGGGCGGGGCCGGGCGAGGAGGATCTGAGGCGTGGCTGCGAAACCAGGGTCCCTTTCGCTTTCCCTTTTGTTCTCTCCAACGGCCACCGAAGACTCCGCGCGCGTGGGGAGAGCGCGGCTTGCCGGGCGCGCTGGTTTCCGCCTGCGCCTGCGCCCCCACTGTCCCGGAGCACCTTCCCGGCTCCGCGCACAGCTTGCGCCACGTAGCCTTGACCCGCGACTCCCCGGCAGCTCCCGCGGACGCACCGACGAATCGATTCGCAAGCTGGCAGCGATTGAGTCGCAGGGGCGTCCCGGGGCCAAGAAGCGCCCCGCCATGCAATCCACTCCCGACTGGCCCCCAACGCCGGGTGCCCTACGGCCGTCTCCTTTCCCGCACCCTGTCCTGCACGCCCTCCACCGCCTGGCGCGAGGCCTGCTCTTCCCGGCTTACTGGGCCCTGGACCAGCTGCTGGGCTGCTGGGCGCCGGCGGTGCGCCCGAGCTGCCAGAGCGCGCTGACCTCAGCCGTGGGCGCCGCGGCGACGCTGCCGCTGCTGCTCCTGGTCGGCCTGCCCCTGGCGCTGCCGGGCCTGCTGCTCTGGCTGCTCCTGCAGGCTTGGCGCCGCCCCTTCTGCTACCGGCCCCCGCCGCAGCACTGGGCGCCCCCAGCGCCCTGGCGCCCCCCAGCTGAGCCCGCGCGCTGCTTTGGCTTCCTCAGCGCCAACCTGTGCCTGCTCCCCGACGGGCTAGCACGCTTCAACAACCTGCGGCACAGCCAGCGGCGGGCGGAGGCTATAGGCGACGCGCTGCTCGCCGGCCTGCGGCCCTCGGGCTATGGGACCACGGGCTGCAGTCCGCCGGGGCCGGGGCCGCCCGGGGGGGTGCTGACAGCCGCGGTGCCGGCAGGTCTGGACTTCGCGTGCCTGCAGGAGGTGTTCGACCTGCGCGCGGCGCACCGCCTCGTCAGCCGCCTGGAGCCCAATCTGGGCCCGGTGCTGTACGACGTGGGCTCCTTTGGCCTGCAGCCCGGGCCGCACCTCAAGCTGCTCGGCAGCGGGCTGCTGCTGGCCTCACGTTATCCGCTGCTGCGCGCAGCCTTCCGATCCTTCCCCCACGCACGTCGCGAGGATGCGCTGGCCTCCAAGGGACTGCTTTCCGCACAGGTACAGGCCCACCGGCCGCGGCGCTCCCTGGCCTGAGAGAGGGCTGGGCGTGGGGTCGAAACGGCGAGGGTTGCTGGGGCCGTCCACGATGTTGCAGGCGCAGGTGGGCATCCTGGACGGGCGCCGCATCGTGGGCTTCCTGCACTGTACGCACTTGCATGCACCGAGTGGTGAGCCTAGCGGACGGGATGGTCAGCACATGGGCAGGCAGTCTCGCTTCTCTCATCCTGGCGGCGACGGGTCCCAACCCTCTTCTGCATCTCCGCCCCCCGCCCCCCCCACCGCGTTTGTTCACTGCCCCAAGCACCGCGCGCCGGGTGGAGCGCCCTGGTGGGCTCACAGATCAGGGCGCGGCGGAGGGAGCGGTGGGGTGCGCATCGGGGCTCAGCCTTCCTCCCCCCACCCCTGCAGGGGACGGGCCCTTGCGCTGCAAACAGCTGACGCTTCTGCTGGACTGGATGGAGCAGTTTGAAGCCGAGAGCCGCCAGAGTGGCGAGGCCGTGGCCTTCAGCGTGCTTCTGGGTGACCTAAACTTCGACAACTGCTCTTCAGGTGAGGGGGAGGCTGCGGAGGGGCGGGGCCGGGCGGCCTGGCCCCTCCCACCGAGCGCCGGCCTCTTCTCGCAGACCACGCAAAGGAGCAGGAGCACGAGCTCTTCAGCCACTTCTGGGATCCCTGCCGGCTGGGCACTCGCCGGGAGCAGCCCTGGGCCCTGGGTACGGCGCCCGGGCGGGGAGCGGTCCTAGGGAGGGCTCCGGGGCCTCGGCTTCCTGATGACCGCCCTCCCCGCCCTTCCCCAGGCACGATGCTGAACACCTCCACTCTGCACCACTCGGTGGCCTGCTCCCCAGAGATGCTGCGGAGGTGAGTGGCGACCTGGGGGTCAGGCACCGCCCAGGACGGAGGGGAGCCCTGGCCATGGTGACACCGCCCGTCCTCAGGGCCCTGGAGCAGGAGGAAGGGCGCCACCGCTACCTGGCAGGCCCTCCCGGCAGAGGCCCGCGGGCTAAACCCTGGCGGGGCCGGCGCGTAGACTACGTCATGTACCGGGGAGTGGCCGGAGGCCCGCTGAGCCCAGTAAGTGCCAGAACTCCGGGCGCTGGGCCGGCCGGGACTGAGGCGACACCTCAACCTGACTCCCTCCCCCAGGAGGTGGAGCAGGTGACCTTCAGCACCGCCCTGGCGGGGCTCACAGACCACCTGGCCGTGGGACTTCGGCTCCGAGTGTCCGCGCCCTCCTAACGCACGCACGCACGCAGGCCGGGTGGAAAGACGGACACGGACGCAGAGCGTGAGCCTGGCCAGTTGCCGCGGGGACGGGGCGACTTCAGAGCTGTTTATTGTGGGGACCCTCCCTCACACTGCCTCCTGGGCTCTGCGGTACTCATAGACGCTGCCGCGCTCAGGGAAGGCTGGGAGCTGCTGGGGCGACCCCGGCGGCTGCGGGGCGGGGTCATCCGGGTCCCCATAGCCCCCGCCGCCTGGTGTGTGGAGGCAGAACACGTCCTGTGGAACAGAAGGGTAGGCTCAGCGCGGGCATGCCCTCCCCGCCAGCTGCCTCCCGCTGCGGCCCCCCACCCCCCCTTCCAGAGCGGCCAGCCTGGACCACGGAGGCCCACTGCGCGCCCTCTTCCCTTAAGAAACCAAATTAAATTCAGTCTCTCGTTATCTTTGCAACTCTGCTCACCCTTTGTGGAATGCGGATCAATGGGGGGCGGGCGGGAATGGGAAAGGATGGGGCTCAGTCCTTACCCCGGGGTACACGGGCACCGACGTCTTCCCCCCCAGATTCACCGTCCGGCCATCCTTGCGGATCAGCAGGTTTAGGCCACGGGCGCCGGGCTCGCCCCCTGCGGGAAGAGGCCAGGTGAGGCGAGCCCAGGAGCCAGGAAGGGAGAGAAAGGAAAGAGGTTGGCGGGGAGACAGGAGGACACCGGCCGGAGGGGGCGGGGGGGCGGGGGCAGGGGAGCGGGGCTGCTCACCGTGGAGGCCGTAGGGCTGGAAGGCGCGGCGCTCGGTCAGCACGGACAGCAGCGCCTCCTCGCGGAAGAGCAGCTCGCGGACGACGCCATCGCCGCCCCGGAAGCGGCCGCGGCCCCCAGACCCCAGCCTCAGCTCGAAGCGGCGCACGATGACTGGGTACCTGCGCGGGCCAGGGACTCAGTGCGGCCCGCCCGGGCTCCGGGCCCCCCGTGCCGCCCCCGCTGCTCACCTGCTCTCCAGGATCTCCGGGTCGGTGATGCGCGTGTTGGTCATGTGGCTGTGCACGCCGCTGCGCCCGTGCCAGCCGGGGCCCGCGCCCGCGCCGCCGGCCACCGTCTCGTAGTAGCCCATGTGGGCATTGCCCAGGGTCACATTGTTCATGCAGCCCTGGCAGGGGCAAGAGGCATTTGCGCTGGGCTGGAGGGTAATCCCCCCCCAACAGGCCCGAGCGTGCCCACCCACCCGCCGCACCTGCGAGGCGGCGCAGGCCCCGAAGGCCCCTAGGATGACGTCCACCACGCGCTGTGACGTGAGCACGTTGCCGCCCACCACGGCCGCTTCAGGGGACGGGTCCAGGATGGAGCCTCTAGGGATCACCACGCGCACGGGCGCCAGGCAGCCCTGTGGGGGAGGGGCCAGCTCTCAGGGCAGTTGGGGAACATACGTGCCCCTCCCACCAGCACCCCCAGGATCAGTCCGTTGTTGGGCTGACCGCGCCCCCAGGATCATTCGGGCCGCGCGCTCCTGCGCACCTGGTTGAGCGGGATGTCGCGGCCCACCAGACAGCGGAGGCAGTAGATGAGGGCGGACAGCGTGATGGCCCGCGGCGCGTTCAGGTTGCCAAACACCTCAGGCCCGGTGCCGCTGAAGTCAAATACTGCGCTGCCCTGTCCGTGGGGGAGAGGGGAGGGGAGAGGTCAGCAGCAGCCAGGCGGCCACGCCTCCGATGCCCTCGGCCCTGCCGCTGCGCCGGCCACACCTGACTCAGGTTGATCTGCACGCGGAGTCGGATGGGGGAGCCGTCGTCCATGTGGTCCTCAGCTGACACCTCCAGGGGCAGGCCTCGGGCCTGCCGGGAGGTTCCAAAGGCCCGCAGCATGTCCCGCACGGCCAGCTCAGCGTTTGCCTAGCACATAGTATGTTCATCGGGCAGCCAGGCCGCCTTCCAGGTGGTGCGGGTGCTCCCCACCTACCCATCCAGCTGCCTGGGGGCGCGCACAGAGCTGCCCCCCGGTTGCTGCCCCTCGGCCCACCTGAATATGGCCCATGTAGGCCTGCACCACATCCAGGCCATACTGCCCAATGAGTTCTCCCACCAGCTGGATGCCCTTCTGGTTGGCTGCCACTTGCGCACGGAGGTCCGAAAGGTTGTCGTGCAGGTTCCGAGTTCCGCTACAGCCGGGAATCTTGCTTGGAGCCCGCAGGGCCTCAGTCACCGCTGGATGGAGGAGGTCACCACTGAGCCGCCCCTGAACTCCTGGGGCTGCCTGGCCCCCTGCTCCACACCTACTTCACCCCTGCTGGGCGCTGTGTGGGGCACCCCATGTTGGCCCTTCACTGGCTCCCCAGCACCCCCAAAACCCCCAGCCTCCTCCCATCTGCTCAACCTTCTTCCCACACTCCAGCCCCCCCGGGCACCCTAGACTAGGATAGGGAGCTTTGCCTGTGACCTCACAGGAGCTGGGGGTTCCCCGGGGCAGGCAGGGGGTTCTTCCCTCAGCAAACTCTGCTTCCACCTTTAATTCCTCCTGCCCTACCTCCCCACCACCTGCCCCACTCCCTCCTGCCCTTTCTGGGCTTCCCTCCCCCTCAGAGGAGAAAAGCGACTTCCCTTGACCCTCCCCCAGTCACACTGCCCCAGGGGCCCTCTGTCAACCACTGTGAAAGAGCATCAGCTGGCCCTCTGTACCTCCTGCCCCACCCCCAAACAAATCTGACCTAGGCCCCTATGTCCCCTGGGGAGCCCCAGAGGCTGAGGGAAAGCCTCTCTCCTCTCTGACCAAGAGATGACCTCTCTCTGAGCAGTCACAGTAGGCTCTCAGGCTCCCTGGCCACTGTGTCCTCTGTCTCGTGCCTGCACATGTCCCTCCCGTGATCCCTGCCCCTTGCCCCCTGCTCCCCCACCCTGACCAAGGGAGCGGCCAGGCCTGGGTCACTCTGTTTGTGTGAAAGCAGCCTGAGGCTCTATTACCCCACCCTCCACCCTGCCCACCGCCACCCTCACTCTGGGATGCCCCCTGGGCTCCAGGGCCCCTGCACTCTCACATGAGCTCTGAATTCTCCGCTGCCCATGTCCTGGACCACGCTGCAACTTCTGCCCCAACTTCCCTGCAGCTGCGCTGTGCCCGCCAGAGCCTCCCCCTATCCTCTAGCTGTCCAAACTTGACTCCCCACCCCCACCCCCAAATCCCACCAAATGCCAACCTTGATCTCCAAGCCAGTTGTCCCTACCCCCACTTCCGCTGCCCAGCTCGAGGGCCAGCATCATCCAGGGCAACCGTGGCTGTCCCCCACCCCACTCAGCCTGGCCTCTGGGCCGCCCTCCAACCCCCACATCCACTCTGCACGTAGGCTGAGGGCTCTCATGGTGTGTAGGCAGACCAGTGCAGGCCCACTTAAGCCCTTCATGGCCACCCCACTACCCAATGACTCAGACCCAGGCCCAAGAAAGGGCCTGCAGGGCCTGGCCCCTGTCCTCACTGCTTCTCTGCAGCCCTCAGACCCAGGGCAGACACAGCTCAGACTGTAAGCACCATGAGCAATGGCCTACCTTGCAACAGTCTCCTCTCCCTCCTGTGCCCAGTGCCATGGGTGTCCTGGCCAGCTCCCGCCCCCAAAATCACTGAGGCCTTCCTGGACCCAGGCAGAGTTTGCCTCCGCTCCTCTGGTCATGGCTGAGAGATGATCTGCAACCACTGTGGGGTCGCTGCCTGGCTGCCCCAGGCTCTAGGCAGGCCTGGGCCAGTAGGCTGTGTCCCAGTGTAGCCCCTGCCCCAGCCTGGCTGTAAGGGGCAGCCATGTATGCCAGCCCACCAAATCCTCCCCCCCACCATTGCCCCAACCCCACCCCCACTCACCCTCCTCCTGGAAGACTCCCCCCTGGACCAGTTTGAAAGACAGAAAGACAGCACCCTCCTGCTGCAGTGTGGTGGAGTGGGGGGGCATGGAGCCTGGTGTGATGCCCCCAATGTCTGCATGATGCCCACGGCTAGCCACGTAGAACACAGGCCGAGTCTGACCCGGCCAAAACACCTGGCGGTGGAGAGCAACCGTCAACTGGGTCAGCCGCCCTTGCCCCCCAGAGACACCCAGGCAGAGGTCCTCACCGGTGTGATGACCGTCAGGTCCGGCAGGTGGCTGCCCCCAGCACTGGGGTGGTTGCTCAGCAGCACGTCGCCAGGGTGGAGGTCAGCCCCCAACTGCTGGATCTGAAGCCAGGAGACAGTCCCGAGTTGGAAGGGGCGGAGGTGAGGGGTGGGGTAGGGAAAGCAGAGAGGGGACCCGCCAAACCTGGAACTGCACGGTCTCCTGCATGGCGCCCAGGTGCACAGGGATGTGGGGGGCATTGGATACCAGCCCCCCATCCGGCCCGAAGAGGGCACAGGAGAAGTCCAGACGCTCCTTGATGTTGGTGGAGATGGCTGTGCGCTGCAGGATGCGGCCCATCTGCTCTGGGGGCACAGAGTGACCAGGCGCCCGCTGGCCCCACCCCACCCACAGCACAGCCCTAGATTATGTAGAATAGGAAGAGGCAGGACCTTCAAGGCCCCAAGGGTGGTGGGGGCTCACCTACACAAGGTGAGGCCACAGCCAGGCCATGCCTTGCCTGTGTGAGGGGCACCCCCTTCCTCTCCATCCCTGCCTGGAGCCTCACCAAGAACCTGGAACCCCACATCAACCCTCCAGCTTGCCCAGCACAGTAAGAAGTTGGTGCTGAGGCACAGGATTCAGGGCCCCCAGCAAGCCCCCAGCCTGACCCTGCACAGATGGGTTCACTGTGCTGAGCCTGTTTCCTGTCCACAGGTCCCATGGCCGCCGGTGGGAGGTAGGTACTCGCACCGCGCAAGGCCCGCTGGTGTATGGCGGCCAGCCATCCCAGCACCAGGGCCACACTGCCCACCCTTCCCCGAGTCACACTCCGCCTCTCTCTGCACACTCCCGCCGGCCACACGGCCTGCACCTTCGTCTGCCTAGTACGCACACTCCCACACCCCCCCCACGGAGGGGCAGAGTCGCTGGGGGACGGTGGCAGCCACTCACCAGCAATACTCATGAAGCGGTGCGAGAAGATGGACAGGTGGATGGGGTCCAGCTGGGCACCCACCGTGCTTGGGGCCTCAGCCCCCACAGAGATGCGGATGTCCCCCGTCTCAGTCACCGCTGCCTGGCAGCCTGGTTCCACCAGGATGGTGCTGAGGGCAGGGGCACGAGAGGCTGGAGGAGCCAAGCCAGACCCCTCATCCCAAATAGGGACCCCACATCCCCAGGCTGGGGGACGCACCAACCATAAGGGGACCCCAGAGGCCTTCATATTCCTGTAGCCTTGGGCCAGAGAACCCTCCGCCAGGACCCCGAGCTCACCCGGGCCCTGGCAGCTGTGGCCCCAGCCCTCACCCCCAGGGCCCCACCCTAGCCAGGCCTCAGCCCACCTGTTGCTGTCAATGATGAGGCAGGGCCCCAGAAGCTTGTGCCCGTAGCCCAGCTCTCCCAACAGGTATACGGGGGTTTCCTGGTACCCCCCCTCAAAGTAGCACTGGGTCATCTGAGGAGGGTGCGGGATGAGTGAGGTTCCTGGGTCCAGCTCCCTCCCTGGGTCTCCCCATCCACACCTGTCCCCATGTCCCTGTGGGTGTGGGTGGGCAGGCAGAGGCAGAGCCACCCACCTTGTCTACCCGGGGAGGCCCAGTCTGAGCTTTGGGGACATCCTCAAGGCAAAGGCCACTGCGGCCAGTGCCCCTCACACGCACGTCGTCCACCACCACTGGCCGCTCAGGGATGACGAAGCCAAACTCCCTCATGTACCTGTACGTCCACCAGCCCCGAGAGAACTCTCAGGGCAAGGTGGCCAGGCTAGCAGGCCCCCGCCAGCGCTCCCGGACCCAGCGTTTGCGTACCTCTCCACAAAGGCGGCCCCGAAATCACCGGCCCGGGGCGAGCGGGCAGTGGCTGGGTGCTGGTGGGCAGACACCATCAGGGCACAGTCGGTGCCCTGGTAGCGTAGATGCAGGAAGCTCTCGGTGCTGATCTGGGGCCTGTGGTGGTGAGGCAGGAGGGGACTCACACAGGGCCCCCGAGAGGACCTCCGTCCTGCCTCCCCCAGCACGCAGGAGCCCAGCCCTCCATGGGGCCCCAGCACCATCTGGGAAATCAGGCGGTAAATCCAACCAGGGGGTGGCTGGGATGCTGCAAGACCCCTGCCTGGCCAAGCCCACCCCAGCCCCTTGAGCCCCACCTGGGAAAGCCCTGGGCCCGCAGGGCGTCCACACACTGTTCCTCCAGGCGGCTCAGCCTCTGGTCCAGCTGCACAAAGGTCTCAGGCGTATAAGGCAAGGAGCACGGCTCCTGCGCCTCGTGCACCACGTCTGCCAGGGCCAGTCCCAGTGCCGACAACAGCCCGCTGTGCCTAGGGGACAGGGGCCTCAGCAGTGTGGGGCTGCCTCCTGAAGCCAGCCCCCCAGCCTAGGACACACGGGCCACTCCCACGCATACCTGTGAATGTGCACAGTGTCCATGCCCAGGGCCCGGGCGATGGCACAAGCATGCTGCCCACCAGCCCCCCCAAAGCACGCCAGAACGTGGGCTGAGGGGTCATGGCCTCGTGCCTGGGAAGCCAGAAGGGGGTCAGTGGCGGACCCTACGCTGTCTGGCCGCCCACCCCTCCCCCGACGGGGTGGCCTGAGTGGGAGGCGTGGGAGTGGGGAGCAGGGCTGGAGGGCAGGGCGGGCGTACCTGCGTGAGTGCGCGGATGGGCCGGCACATGGCCTCGTTGGCCACGCGCACGAACCCCATGGCTACCTCCTCCAGGCTCAGCAGGGAGGCCGGGCAAGGCCCATTGGTCAGGAAGCTGTTGACCTCAGTAGCCACAGCCTCCAGGGCCTTTCGGGAGGCCTCAGGGGACAGTGGCTGGTCCTCTCCCGGCCCAAAAATGCAGGGGAAGGAGGCAGGCAGTAGGCGACCCAGAACCAGATTAGCATCCGTCACTGTCACGGGACCCCCTGGGAGGTGTGCAAGGGGTGGGGGTTGGGGGATGGAGATGGGGTCCAGGACTGGACCTCAGGGGTGGGGTGGGCCTGGGCAGCACGGGAAGGAGCCCGGTGGGGCAGATACCACCTCTTACCTTTGCGGTAGCAGGCAGGGCCAGGATGGGCTCCTGCAGACTCTGGCCCCACCACAAAGAGGCCGGACCTGGGAGAGGGAGGACTGGACTTAGAGGTGCGTTGGGAGGCAGGGCTAGGGGGCCCCAGCCCAGGTGCAGGGGCTGACCTGAAGAAGAGGCGGGAGCCCCCACCAGCTGCCACTGTGTTGATGTCCAGCTGGGGGGCCTGGAGGGTGACCCCAGCTGTGCGGGCCTCAAAGACATGCTCAAACTCCCCAGCATAGCGGCTCACGTCGGTGGATGTGCCTGGTGGGGGCAAGGGGTATGAGGAGTCCACTCACAGACCTCGATGCCTGGCACTGCCTGGCCCTGCAGCAGAGACTCCTCCTGACCCCACCCTTCAGCCTTCATACCTCCCATGTCAAAGCCAATGACAGGCTGGCCGCCTTCCACCCGGTAGGTGGTGGCTGAGTAGCCAACCACACCCCCAGCAGGTCCAGACAACACAGCGCGGGAGCCGCTGAAGGAATCCATGGGTGCCAGGCCACCATCAGAGCGCATGAACAGCACCTGCACGTCCTGGGGGCAAGCAGGTGGTCAGTGAGGGGCTGGCCGGCACAGGGTGGGGGTGGCTGGGAGAAGGCAGGCGGGGGGGCCTCACCTTGAGCTGGCCCTGGAAGCCACGGCGGAAACCCTGCACATAACGCTGTATGGTGGGCGTCAGGTAGGCGTCGGCACAGGCCGTGTGCCCCCGAGGCACGATGCGCACCATGGGCATGGCCTCCGAGGACAGTGATACGTGTGTGAAGCCCAGCTCCTGGGCCAGTGCGCCCACCTGCTGCTCATGCTGGGCCCACCTGTTACAACGACCCAGTGGTACTCTGCCTCCTGCCCACAGCCTCCTGCCCGCCCCCCAGGGCCCCTGGCCAGCCCGCACTCACGTGTAGGAGTGCATGAGCACCACGGCCAGGCTGCGGATGCCTCGGGACAGGAGCCCCTCCAGCTTCCCACGCAGACCCCCGAGGTCCACGGGCTGTTGCACCTCCAGCAGGTCCCCTGTGCGGCCTGCCAGGAAGCCTGTCACCATCCCGTCAAAGGCCTGGGAGGGCCTGCTACTCCCACCCCCCAACACGCGAGGCATCGCACCTCTGACAGGCGTCCCCACGCCCAGCTCCCCACGATACAGCACCACGCGCTCGTCCACCTCCAGCACCTCTTCGTACAGTACCTCAGGCATGTGCACAGCCTGGGGGCAGGCAGAGGCTCAGAGGAAGCCCAGGCCTGAGGGGCCTTGCTGGGGTCCCGCGCGGGTGGGCAGCGCGGGCGAGGGGATGTGTCCCAACAGGCCAGCCAACAGGCCCAGGAGACGCGGTCAGACAGGGCGGCCCCAGCAAGGCCCACCCAGGGGGCGGCTCTCTGCCCCGAAGCACCTGAGTGTAGCCAACTGCCCCACCCCCACAAGGGCAGCTCCCTCTGGGAATCCAGCAGGGGAGGTGGGGGGCGGGGAGTGGGAGGGTGGGCGCGGGGCAGGGGGGGGGGGGGGCTCCCATCCCTCACCCTGAGCAGTTCGTCCTGGGTCGCGCCACACCCAGAATCCAGGACAGGGCATGGTGGCAGACAGGAACAGGAGTGTGAGTACTCTGAGGGCTTGGGGGACACAGCACCTGCTAGGAGTGCTGGAGCCTCCCTCCTCTCTGCCTGTCAGCGGGTGGCCTTGGGCCGGCACTGACCCTTCCAAGGACTGCCCTCCCCGAGGGGCCATGAGCTGCCGGACCCAGCATCAGCTGGAGTGGGTGAGCTCACCAGATCAAAGAGGTCCTCTCGGGCCTGGGTGCCCACGTGCAGCAGGTCTCGGAAGCCACGTGTCACCAGCAGGGCCACCCGCTCCCCCCGCCGCTCCAGCAACGCGTTGGTGGCCACTGTGGTGCCCATGCGGATGCTGGCAATGCGACTAGTGTCCAGCGGCCGGTCCCGGGGCAACAGCATGCCCCCCTCCTGGGAACCACATGGTTAGTGTCAGTCCGGCCTCTGGTTCCCACATCCCACCCCACACCGCCACTCTGCCTCGGCCACCTGCTCCAGAATGCGGCGGATGCCCTCAGTCGGTGCGTCTACATAGTTGGCAGGGTCCTCTGAGAGCAGCTTCAAGACCCTCACGTGCCCCCCGGGGCACTGGGCAAAGACATCTGTGAAGGTGCCTCCGCGGTCGATGGCAAAATGGAAACGCCCCTCGGGGCCGCCCATGATGATAGGGCTGGGGTCCAGCCGCGACTCTTCGGCAGGTAGTCCTGGGAGAACTGGACAGAGACGGCAGATCAGGCCACAGGCCTGGGGGTCGTCCACGGCTTGGCAGCCTTGGGCAGAGCTGGGATGGGGAGAGGATGGGGGGGTTCCAGGTCCAGAAGGGGTCCTGGGCAGAGCGGGAGCTGCAGACCCAGCTCAGAGGGCAGCCTGAGGGGTGGCCAGAGCTGGGTAGGTGGGGGCGCCAGACCTAATGGCCCTCGTTACCCGGTTCCCAGTGCCCCGGGCTGCGGCTGAAACCCCCCCGGCCCAGAACAGGCCTTTCGGAGGTGGACCGCCCGCGGGCTGGTGGGTCTCCGCTCTCTGAACACGAAGACGCACGGGGGCCGGGGGCGGGTGAGGGAAGCCCCACTCCCAGCTGCTCGACCTTGGGGCCCAGGCCCTGTGGGACGCGGGGACGGGGCGGGGCCTGCGCAGACGGCGGGGCGGGGCCCGCGGCCGGAGCGCGGGAAGCGGCGGGGCTGTGGGGGCAGCGCGGCCGAGGCGGGGTGGGAAGGAGAGGGGCCGAGAACGTCCCGGTGCAAGGCCCACCTGGCGGGTCGGCTCCGAGCCGCTCGCTGTCTGTTCGCGCTGCGCTCCCTCCCAGCCCTGCCCGCGCCCGCCCCCGTCCCCAGCCCGGAAGCGGAGCCCGCCCCCCGCACGACCGGTCCGGGCGCGCACGGCCCTCCGGGTTGCGTAAGGCTCCGCTTGCCGGGAGCGGCCTCCTTCCTCCGCCGGGAGCCCCCCCGGAGGACGGCGGGGCGCGGGGCCGAGCTGGGCTAGGGGCGGCGCGGTGCTGGGCACCGCGGTTCCGCCGGCCGTCAGGCCCTAAGCCCGCCCAGAGATCGCCGAGCCTAGGAGCCCTGGGACCCACTCTGGGTGCCCGGGGGCAGGGAGAGCAGAGTGCCCCGCAAAGAAAGAATAGCCAGACGAGCTCGAACTGCCCCCTGGCGCGAGGCAGTTACGCCGCGGGGGGAGGGGCCACCAGCGCGCGCCCTGCGGAACCCCCTTGCTTGCAGGTGCTGTGGGCAAGGGCCCCTACACAGACCATCAACACCCCTGCTGCCCGTCCAAGGCCAGCCCTGCCATAGCCTAGGCTGGGAGCAACAGGACCCTCACCACAGCAGGGCTGATGTCCCCAAAAGCCGCGGCCAGTGCCCTGAGGACGGGGCGGATAGTTGTCCCACCCTGGCCTGTTTCCCCACGCGCAGAAAGGTGCCCAAGCTTGGAGTGGGCTCAAACTGTGCAGGGCCTTTTAGACCCCCTAGAGGGAAAGGTGGGGATGGGGGGAGGGAGGTGTCCCAAGCAGAGGGAACAACGGGTGAAGGGGACTTCACCTAAAGTGCCAGGCCAGATAGCCAGACCAGCAGGGCCCCCCCACACACACACTTCCCCATCCCCTATGAGCTGTGCCGGCCCTGGAGGCCTGCTTGGTCCTGGAAGGTGAGAGGGAGGTGGGCTGAGTCGGGAGCACAGGCTTTGGGCTGCACCCCAGGCTGCAACAGGGAGGGCTCCCTTCTGCCTGGTGGCCTTTGGCAGCCTCAGCATCCTCTTCCATGTGGCGGGGGAGGGAAAGGAGACATGGTTTTGAAAGAACTGTACCAAGAAAGATACATGAGATTCAGTGACTCAGGGCAGTGCTAGGGTCTGTGACCTCTGCCCCCACCTCAAGCCTTCTGACGGTGGCCCATGGCCTCCTCCACCAGCCCAGGTTCCAGCCAGTGTCTTCCCACGTCCAGCCCTGCTTGGGCCAAGTGTGGAGGACTTGAGCTTCCCAGCACACAGGGATTGGCCCTGGGATCAGGCACACGGGACCCACGCCCCCAAGGATGGGCTGTGACCACGTCCAGATGACTGTGTACCCAGTGTACCCAGGGGCAGGTCCAGCCATGGTAACACTGCCAGACCTCTACCACATTGACCCCCTTATCGCCTTCCCCATCCCTCACGTCCAGCTGGGGGTCCTGCTGGCCTGGCTCTCTGGTCTGGCTCTCCAGTCACGACGAAGGACCTCTCCCTCCACCTGCTCCGAGCAAACCGCGAGATGGTGGTCAGCAGCCCCACTTCAGTCAGAACCCCCACCTGCAGCCCCCACCATGTCTCCTTCCACCGCTAACAGCCCACGCACTCTCCCACATGACTAGGTGATTGTCCCACCAAATTCCCCACACAGCCTGTCCATCCTGGTGCTCAGCTGAGGAGCCACCCAGACAGAATTCCACGACCCCACCCGTAGCTACCACCACCTGGGGTACTCTACTCGGCCCAGCCTTTTCACCATCCACAGGTACCGCCCCGGCAACCCCCCCACCACACACCCGTCTTCACCCCGTGGTTGATGACTGCCAGCACACAACCGTATCTCTAAAGTCCCCGTCCCCACACCCTTCCAGCAGCACCCAGCTACTCTGCTCCTAGGGTGCGCCTCCTTGGAGGTGTCCACCTTCCGCCTCCACTTGCCTCCTGGCTCTCTTGACCTCACCTCCACAGAGATCGTATCTTGCAAGACCAAAGAAGGCCCCCCAGCCACCCTGGTGCCCAGTCCTCCTCTGACCACCCTGTGCATCCACCCATCCCCCAGCTGTGTGTCTGGGAAGCACCTTCGGCGTTGGGCTCTTGACCTGCCTCCCTGACTTCCTCCTGCCAGCCTCCTTCACCACACCTTCTTGGTATGTGTGTCCCGAGAAGTTCCCCTATGCTATGGCCTGAATTGTGTCCCCCCAAAATTTGTATGTTGAAGCCTACCCCACAGCATGATGGTATTTGGAGGCGGGACCTTTGGGAGGTGATTAAGTCATGAGGGTGGGGCCCCACGATGGGATTAATGCCCTTATAAGGAGCGACGGAAGAGACTGCTTGTTCTCTCCAGAACGTGCGGCTACAGCTAGACGGTGGCCAGCTATAAGCCAGCACCGAGCCTCACCAAGAGCCCCACCAGCACCCTGGGCTCAGACTCCCCGGCTCCAGAGCTGTGGGGAGCGAACTGTTGAAGTCATCCAGGCTGCACAGTTTCCATATAGCAGGCCAGACTGTGTGCGTCACAGCCCCAGTCACACCGTGTCCCCTGTTCACACCTCTGGTCTCTCAGCAGCAGGGAGGGAACACTGTGCCAGGATCGGCATGACCCCCGCCCCCCGTATCTCCCGTGGATCTGCACCACGCTGCAGGCTTCCCTGCAGCATGGTGCCTGTCCCCATGAGAACCGGGGTCCCCGCAGCCTGCCCACACCAGAGGCAGGGCCCTACTTGCCGAGCTCAGACCAAACCCTGGGAGCTGCCGTCACCCACTTTCTCACCCACCACACCCAGCCTGCCGAAGGCCTGCTGTTAATCGACCTTCAGTCCCCTGCCCTAGCCAAGCCTGTCATTTCTCACCAGGAGAACTATCCCCCACCCCCACCCCATCCCATCAGGCAGGGAGCCCAGGGGGCATAGGCCAGGGGCACAGATCCTGCCATCAGGTTCCTTCTGACCTGTAGGGCCCTTCTGGTCCTCATGTGCCCTCCCCTTCACCTGCTGGCTCAGCACGATGCCTCAACACACCCAACCTGCTGCCACCTCAGGGCCTTTGCACAGACTAACCCTCAGCTCGACCCTGGCCTTGTGGCTCCTTCACTTTGGTCCAGCTCTGCTCCAACATCACTTTCTCCCTGCTTCACTTCCTTCAGATCACCCCCCAGCACCTTCAGCACCCAACAGGCCATTGCCCCATGGAAGCAGCACTTCCCTCCTCTTTTCATGCTCTTGGCACAAGTTGAACGAGTGAAGTTTCGTGGGCCTCTGAGAAGAGCGCCTGCAGGCCCTGGCACTCCTCACCTCTTTCGGCATCCTTGAACTTGATGGTTCTGCGCCGGGACGGCCGGGGGCTGGTGGCCACCTCAGCCAGGATCCCAGAGCCACAGAAGCCCAGGCTGCTGCCCCGGTTCCGAAGCACCAGCTTCAGCTCCTGGTTCTCCTGGATGAGCTGCACAAGCCGTCGCAGCTCTTCATTCTCCTGCGCCAGCCGCTGGATCTCCTGCCTCAGGCCCTCGTAGCTGCTGAGGAGGGACATGCCCGGCATCAGGGGCGGCAGCTGCCAGCAGCTGGTGGGCTGGCCAGGAACAGCAGACCAGACCCCGTCATTGTGAGGTCAGCGGCTACCCTGCCGCCCGTGCCTCAGCCGCATTCCAGGGCCCAGCGGTTCCGACCGCCTTGAGCAGGGAATACCTGACCTCTGACCTCTGGCCCCTGACGGCCAAATGGCTAGGGCCTAGAGTCCCTCTAGGAAGCCCCTCCTGGAGGGTGAAAGCTTCTTTTTTTAAATTTAATTTAATTTTAATTCAACTAATTAACATACAGTGTATTATTCATTTCAGAGGTAGAGATCAGTGATTCATCAGTCTTATATAATACCCAGTGCTCAATATATCACATGCCCTCCTTAATGTCCATCCCCCAGGTACCCCATCCCCCCACCCCCACCCCTCAGCAAGCCTCAGTTTGTTTCCTGAGATTAAGAGTCTCTTATGGGGGTGCCTGGGTGGCTCAGTCGTTGGGCGTCTGCCTTCGGCTCAGGTCATAATCCCAGGGTCCTGGGATCGAGCCCCGCATTGGGCTCCCTGCTCAGCAGGGAGTCTGCTTCTCCCTCTCCCTCTCCCCCTGCTTGTGTTCCCTCTTTCGCTGTGTCTCTCTCTGTCAAATAAATAAATAAAAATCTTAAAAAAAAAAAAAAAAGTCTCTTATGGTTTGTCTCCCTCTCTGATTTCATCTTTTTTATTTTTTCCTCTCTTCCTCTATGATCCTCTGTTTTGTTTCTTAAATTCTACATATCAGTGAGATCATATGATAATTGTCTTTCTCTGATTGGCTTATTTTGCTTAGCATAACACCCTCTAATTCCATCCACGTTCTTGCAAATGGTAAGATTTCATTTTCTTGTTGGCTGCATAATATTCCATTGTATATATGGACCACATCTTCTTTATCCATTCATCTGTCGATGGCCATCTAGGCTCTTTCCACAGTTTGGCTCTTGTGGACATTGCTGTTATAAACATTGGGGTGCACGTACCCCTTCGGATCCCTACATTTGTATCTTTGGGGTAAATACCAAGTAGTGCAATTGCTGGGTCATAGGGTAGCTCTATTTTCAACTTTTTGAGGAACCTCCATACTGTTCTCCAGAGTGGCTGCACCAGCTTGCATTCCCACCAACAGTGTAGGAGGGTTCCCCTTTCTCCGTGTCCTCGCCAACATCTGTCATTTCCTGACTTGTTAATTTTAGCGATTCTGACCGGTGTGAGGTGGTATCTCACTGAGGTTTTGATTTGTATTTCCCTGATGGCAAGTGATGTGGAGCATTTTTTCATGTGTCTGTTGGCCATCTGGATGTCTTCTTTGCAGAAGTGTCTGTTCATTGGAAGCTACTTTATCC